CTCCTCCTATTACTCCATATAACCTCTCTCTATAACTCCTCCTATTACTCCATATAACCTATCTCTATAACTCCTCCTATTACTCCATATAACCTCTCCCTATAACTCCTCCTATTACTCCATATAACCTCTCTCTATAACTCCTCCGATTACTCCATATAATCTCTCCCTATAACTCCTCCGATTACTCCATATAACCTCTCCCTATAACTCCTCCTATTACTCCATCTAACCTCTCCCTATAACTCCTCCTATTACTCCATATAACTTCTCTCTATAACTCCTCCTATTACCCCATATAACCTCTCCCTATAATTCCTCCTATTACTCCATATAACTTCTCTCTAACTCCTCCTATTACTCCATATAACTTCTCTCTATAACTCCTCATATTACTCCATATAACCTCTTCCTATAACTCCTCCTATTACTCCATATAACCTCTCTCCTATAACTCCTCCTATTACTCCATATAACCTCTCTCTATAACTCCTCCTATTACTCCATATAACCTCTCTCTATAACTCCTCCTATTACTCCATATAACCTCTCCCTATAACTCCTCCTATTACTCCATATAACCTCTCTCTATAACTCCTCCTATTACTCCATATAATCTCTCTCTATAACTCCTCCTATTACTCCATATAACCTCTCTATATAACTCCTCCTATTACTCCATACAACCTCTCTCATTAACTCCTCCTATTATTCCATATATCCCCTCCCTATAGTTCCTCCTGTTACTCCATATAACCGCTCCCTATAACTCCTTCTATTACTCCATATAACCTCTCTCTATAACTCCTCCTATTACTCCATATAACCTCTCCCTATAACTCCTATTACTCCATATAACCTCTCCCTATAACTCTTCCTATTACTCCATATAACCTCTCCCTATAACTCCTCCTATTACTCCATATAACCTCTCCCTATAACTCCTCCTATTACTCCATATAACCTCTCCCTATAACTCCTCTATTACTCCATATAATCTCTCTCTATAACTCCTCCTATTACTCCATATACCTCTCCCTATAACTCCTCCTATTACTCCATATAACCTCTCCCTATAACTCCTCCTATTATTCCATATAACCCTCCTATAACTCCTCCTATTACTCCATATAACCTCTCCCTATAACTCCTCCTATTACTCCATATAACCTCTCTCCTATAACTCCTCCTATTACTCCATATAACCTCTCTCTATAACTCCTCCTATTACTCCATATAACCTATCCCTATAACTCCTCCTATAACTCCATATTACCTCTCTCTATAACTCCTCCTATTACTCCATATAACCTCTCCCTATAACTCCTCCTATTACTCCATATAGCCTCTCTCTATAACTCCTCCTAATGCTCCATATAACTTCTCCCTATAACTCCTCCTATTACTCCATATAACCTCTCTCATTAACTCCTCCTATTACTCCATATAACCCCTCCCTATAGTTCCTCCTGTTACTCCATATAACCTCTCTCTATAACTCCTCCTATTACTCCATATAACCTCTCTCAATAACTCCTCCTATTAAACCATATAACCTCTCCCTATAACTCCTCCTATTACTCCATATAACCTCTCTCTATAACTCCTCCTATTACTCCATATTACCTCTCTCTATAACTCCTGCTATTACTACATATAACCCCACTGTAAAACATCTTTAATCACACTACTGGTGCTACCAGCGTTTTTCATCAAATCAGAAACTGTAGGGATTTGTCTGGGGAATTTCCTATCACAGACATAAAATAGGTTAGCTAATTTCCCAGACTGGCTATTTTGTCTATAATAAGCGATTCCCTGCAATTCTACATTTAATGAACGACCATCTATGTAACTGTTACCTTTCGTTATAAGCTTTGCCCCATATAAAACAGCTGTAGCTTTTTCTGTTACAGAACAAGGTCTCAAATTGCTCTAATAGCCTTAGATAAAAATCTCCCAACGGAATCATTATCTTCATCAGAAAACCTTTTCCTTTTAACTTTTTGTGTCCATATTGTTCCTTTAATAGTACAAGGTGTTGGCTGTCCCCAAGCCCCTATATTTTTAATGCACTAACATGCAACAGCAATATGGTACTCTACTGTCTTAGTAATATATATAGAGTATGTACTTATGCATACTTTATAAATAAAATATTATATGTGTGTTTACTCTTCCCACAACTCCATTTCATACATTTCCACTTAACTGTTGACTATAATAATAATATTAATAATATCTAGCCCTGACTATTATCGACTGAGATGTAGAGCTAAGCGATCCCAACATAAGCATTTAATCTTGAAGGAACTTTGTTTCCCAGTTCTCAGAATTCTCAGTTAAACACATGATGATTCCATTTGATGGACTGCTGAATATAAAACCATATCTTTGCCCCTTGGGGCTTCAAGATTTTAAAAATGGTGGAAAAGGGGATATGGGTCATTGAGAGTCAGAGGCCGAGGAGGCTTCAAGTTTCCTTATGACCACTGTTCTGGTTCTTTCGGAGAAACCCCAAAAGCCCCAGGCTACAAATTCCAGGCAGTTATCCTTTCCATCCTTTAAGACTGATTCCTCTCCAGAGATCCCAACCTTCCCTTCCATCAATTTGACTAATTCTACAGCAGAACAAATAAATTGTGAAACGAATACCATTGTAAAGCAACAAACCTGTTGCAGGTGAAGGGTTTATTTTTCAAATCACCCTTTCCTCCTTTTACATCGTAATCATCCTTATCTCGAACACATCTTCTTACACAATAATCTATTATAGAATCCATGTCACACAATATGGGGTGGACCTTTGGAAGAGACGTCTCTTCTATCAATTGCTATTATATGTATCTATTGTATCCTGCCCTTGCAAAGAAAGATTGATCAGAATTATAGATAAGAGAAACATTTATCCTTCTAGTTTGTCTATCTCCATGTCAACTGAAAGACTCTTTATTTGTCTATTGTTCAGGATAATGTTATACGTACACGGGTCTAAAGGTTATTTGACTCAACTCCTTCTACTTTGACGGTAATTTCAATTCTCTATTATCCTTTAAGTGAAAAGTTGATTCTGTATTGTGTCTTCTAGAACAGGAGTTCTACAGCGCTAATATCATAAATTATGCAATATGTTAATATTCCTTTTGCAGCAATATTTGTATTATTAGCTATTTTTCTTTTTCCTGTGAACATTACAGTTTTGTTCAGTTCAGTTTACAGGGCTTAGAGTGTCCCTTTAATTGAAAAATATTTTGTAGCGTTTTAGCACATATGTAAACATTCTTAATATTAGATACATTTAAAGGGACGCTGTATGTACTTTAACAACTTCATTTTATTGAAGATTTGTAGTGCTTGCAGTCCTGCTGCCCCTCTTTTACCCACAAAACCCTTTAGTTCTCTAATTAGAGGGCTTGGAAACGCGGCTTCAAGCCACAGCTCCAAGCCCTCCTGGTATGAGAGACAGTAATCTTACTTCTGGGTTCTAATACCTTAATATATACTGTAACAAGACGCTTGCATATACAGTGCCGTCACACTCAGTCGTAGAGAATGATTGTATTTAATGATTTTCTATGGCGGAATCTTAGAGGCATCACAGCGAGTGTCGCGCATGGGCCTAAGGTCCTCCATGCTTATTTATTTTATACGGGTGGAGGGGGGGAGGCTCAGGGCCATAGTGATAGGAATACAGATATTAAATATTAATGATACCAGTGCAAGATTAGCAAGTTCTCTTCATATTTTTGTAGGGTATTCCATACGTTACTACAGGGGTCGCAGTGTGCATGCTCTCAGTCATTCAATGACTGGTGGGATCAGCTATCGGCAGCTCTGCAACACTGTCCACTGGGGGACCCTCGACTCCCCCGAAATCCCAGGTAAGAGGGCAAACCGTTGCCAAATGATTTGCCCCATTATCGGGAAACGGGGTAAGGTTACTCCTGGCATCATAATCACTACAGCCATTAATGTCGAATGGCTTCTGTTCTTATGTTCACATTCTGCCCCATCTAAGTGCCCTGCTAGTCTCATAGTGTTCAGATGGCATGAAGTGGCACACAATGGTGGCATGAGAATGTGGACTGGCTATGAAGGCATGAGATGGGAGAATGGGGAGAGCTACCTGGCTAGAGTGACTTGAGCTAAGGCAATAGGGAAGTCTGTGTTTGGGATCGTGAGAACAGAGACTATAGCTCGCATCATTACTGCTGTTCTAATAATAAGCACAACTTCATTTAAATATGCTTTGCATTCTGATCCTAACATCTGGGGATTCTACCTTTTGGGCATCCGGTCCCCTGCACTAAAATATGTGAACCCCTGTTCTACACTAAGATACCCCTATACTGCACATCACTAACACCCTTACACCCCTATACATTGTTTTACCTATAGAAATCTGAAGACAGACACGTGTAATAAGTAAAAGTCTTCTTCCTATTACACACGATTTCTCACTATAACACACACAATACTGTCCCTGCCAAGTTATCACCCCCCTCCTCTCTGCATAATGCACTCAGTACTTTTCCCATAACTAAATGATCTTTTCCTATCAATGCTCAAATGGTCAAAATATTATTATTATTACTATTATTATTATTATAAAAAAAAAAATCAAACAAAACAAGACAGAAAAAAATAACAATAATGCAGCATATTTCTCTTGTCATAATGAGCAGTTAAGTGTTCTTGGGGCTAGGATCCAAATGGCATTCCCTAAATCCAATCTTTTAAACCAGTCTTTGCTTGTTAGAAATGTTCTCTGTTTGCAAGAGGGAGTGAAGGCTGGAGCAATGGGACAGGGATTATGGGAGGGACTGAGAGATGACTGTGTGTGTGTACAGTCAGTGGGTGGGTAGTTAAAGGGGAAGGTCTACATAGAGAGAAGGGGATGGATTCTTAGCCTTGGAGGGGCAGGTGTTGTTCTCAATGTAGAGCAAGCATTCTATCTCTGGCTGTCTCTCATATACCATCAACTTTACAGGACAGCAGCCATGCAAGCCCCACTCATCCTTATCCTCTGCTCTGCGGTGAGTTCAATGCATTATACATTGCAATGTCAAATTTTACCATTTGCTTTAAAGATTTTAATTTATCACTTATTCTATTTTGCTATTAAATGAAACTGTATCCAGATCTAAACTCTCAAGCCAACTGCATAGGGCTTGAAAAATCCAACATGGATTTATTAAAATAACCTCTATTAAAATGACCCTTATATTTATTGGCAGAAGTATAAATATATACTGCATTTAAAAAAAAAAAATTAAATACCCAATTTTATGTTCTGGGTTAGCCTTCCTGTCCAGTGACAAATTAAGCAATGTAAAAAACTGCATTAACCTTAAAAGTGTAAGCCTCCCTCCCCTCCCATCCCCTGTACTCATGCATTATTTAGCCATTTTATATATGGCTGTTAATGGTCCATTTTTTATTTGCGGAGATAGTTCAGGTCATCCTGTGAAATGGCATTGCTGATGTTAGATTCGTTCCTTGCATGCAAGTACTGGTTTGTGGATCATGAATGAATGGACTGGCTTTGAAGGGACACTTGGTTTCTTATTGTAAGGGGAATAAACATTGTGGGGGGATCCCAGATCTGACTCTGAGGCATTGAGTCTCTGAGTACATCCTTCTAGCCTAGATCTGCAGTGTACAAGGGTTTGGCTTCAGGATAATGCAGTAGTGATAATCATCTTTGTATTGGTGCGTACAAAACCCCACACAATCTCAGATTTCAGCCTGAGCTGCTCGCTGTGTGCCCTTCAATTCAAATCCTGCTCCAGACCTTTCAAAAGCCCCCACCCTAGCATAGGAAAAAAAAAATCTATTAGTGGAATATATCAATACGGCTATTGATGCATGATAGCCGTCACCCTCCTTCGCTTTCTGTATCAACTAATGGTTATCTATCATTGATACATTTCTTGTGGTCAGTGTGTGACTCTCTAAATCCCATTGCCCTGTTTGTAAAATTAATGGACTTGAGGAAAGTGGCTAAGCAAATATTGTTTCTATTGTTTTTTTGGTCTTCAGAAGACAGGCTTTAAAAACATCATTGTTGGCTGGACTCTAAATCCCATCACGCAATTGTGAGCTGGGTTTCCATTAGTTGATGGAGAGACTACTTTTTTTCCCTGCATCCTTCAGGCAGTCAAGGATCATCACAAAAAGTTTCTCCTTGTGTCCTCTTAGAGGCGTTTACAGTGATCAGATTGTAAATTCGTAAGATCAGGAGATAAGATTTACACAGTTGATGGGATTGTGGTTTTGTAATATTCGTTAGATAATAAATGTTTTTTTTCTGTTATCTGAACTTGTAAATAATTCTAATGGCATCATGTCCACATGCTCTACTAGATCTGGACAATAATGTCAAGGAAGTCCTTGCTCAGAATGCTGCAAATTTAAGTACTCAGTTGTATTTGAGGCTGAACTTATTTTTAGGTGGGTGGGCTTGGAGGGTAGGATATGGTCTTGTGATTTGTAAACAAAAAAGTATGATGTTATTGTACGAGAAAATTTTTCTGGATGGTTTGAATGGACTGGAAGTGGGTTTATGGAGTAAACTAATAAGACAAGTCAATGTTGAAGAGCTTGGGTGATAATGGTTGGGTTGGGTTGGACTGATGGATAAGTTAATGTGCGTGTTCTTGAGTAGTTTAGCTGTGTCCTGGATAGTCTTTTTTTGTTTTTAATTCAATCTGATAATCTTGAAAAGATTATGGCCATTCTGGATGTTCTCCTGGTTGACTTCATATAAATCGTCTGGAAAGATAATAGTTGTTTTGGATGGTCTGCTGGTTGAGTTAATTTAATTGTTATGAAAAGATAATAGGTGTTCTGGATTGTAAATTGATTGTGTTAATGTTGATGCGTGGGACGATGTATGGCATTCTGGATACCTTATAGATGGACCGGTAATGTAATGAGTGTTTTTGATGATGATGTAGGAAGATGTACTTTGGAGACATTGTTATCCTACTACATGGGTCTGGGTTTTGGGTGTGTTCCTTCAAGGTTGTTTTTATTATTCTTGGTGGCCTAATAATATACACAAGTCTGAATTGACAATAAGACATGTAAAACTGTTTATACATAGTTTAATGATCAGGAATATGCATTTTGGGTAAATTTACATATTTTTTCCCCTTTTCTTTAGCTCTTTGTAGGAATCTGGGCTGTTAGAATTATTCCACATGTGACTATGATTCCATTTGTGCTGAGTGTTCTGAATGCTCCTATAGTTAAGAATCTGAATCAGATATTGTAAGTGATTGCTGACTAGTGAAGGCTAGTTTAGTAATTTAATGTAAGCTCGTAATGGAAATAAGGTCTTAAAACATTTTCCTGTTGTTTGTAAAGAAAATTTCGACCAACAGAGATTCTCGTTCTGAAATATGAATATGTAGTTGATATGTGTAACTATGGATATTATGCAATCAATTACACATTTAGTTAACTTTGTATACATTATCCATCCATTCTCATGTGGGTTATTAGGGATTGTGGATTAATTAGCAATGTTGTGTTTGTTTGTTTTTAATATTGATAACTTGAATTGATTAGAAAGTTATGGGAAGACAAGTGGATTAGCTAGGGCTCCTATGAGCATCTAAGTGTCTGTGGAAGGGGTAGCCATCTTTCGGCACGCCAGATGTTGTGGTCTACATCTCCCCTGATACTTTTCTACGATTAAGGCTGTAAGACCATTATGGAATGCTGAAGGTTGCCTACCCCTGGCCTATGAGTTGGTTAGGAATATATAAACTAGTTATGGATATTGCGGGCAGGTTAATGAATACGAAATTAGTTAGAATCTTGTTAACAAGCTAGGATTACTGTGCATAGGTAGGTGGTTATGGATTGGTTAGGGATAATGTGAGCAGATAAGTGATTGGATACTTTAGACTGGTTAAGAATCTTGTGGGTTTGGTTGGAAATATTGCATATGGGTTATAAGGGATATGTCGGACTAGTTAGGGCTATCAAGTGTTGTTAGCAATGTTCTAGTTCGGTTAGTGAAGGATGCTTAGTGATCTAGATTGGTTAAGTATATTGTGGGTTGGTTAGAAATATTGTGGGTTAGTTAACAGTATCATTGGATTATTAGTGATGGTGTGTTTTGGTTATTGGTGTAGGTTGGTTAGTAATGTGGATTGGGCATAAAACATGGATTGACTAGGATTGTGAGTAGTTTTACGGGTTAGTTAGGCATATTGTGGTTTCATTGAGGATTCCATGGATTCTCTAGGGATATTTTGGGCTGGTTAGTTTTATTGTGGTTTGTGTATGGAAACTATAACAGCATATAAAAGATATATAAGGGAGAGCCCTGTGTTATTTCTTTGATTAAAAAATACATACATTATTTCTATAGTGATTTATTTACTTTTTCCCTCAATTAAAAAAAAACAACAACTTTCTATGAGACCCACCCTTCTTTGATCAAGACATTGGTGGAATGCTATATCTTATTGATCTCTGTTTCAGAAATTGCCCAATACACTCAATCGAGCCAAGAAAATAATTACTCATCACCCGAATGATCTCTCAAGAGAAAAAGACAAACAGATGGCTTTTATCTGTTCGGTAGTCATTAGTGTAAATAATCTATGTCAATGCAACATGTGCAAAAAAAAAACCTAGCAATTATATTTACTTTAACCCCGGGTTAATGAGCAGTAAGAGAAACGTAAAGATACTAAACATAAATGAATTATGGGAAATTTTAGAGCATTGCTTTTTTAATGGATTTAAGTTTGGTAAACGAGCGCAACACAGAAAGAAAGAAACCACGAGATTCCTTGGGACTGTGAGTCTTTTGACAGCTGCCTTCTTGGAAACCCATGTAGATGCTGATATAGTGATTGTATCTCAGGCTAGATAAAGCAGTGATACTGATTACAGAGCACTAGTTCTCAAGTTCTTAAAATCAACAGAGGTCCACAATGCATTGATTTCTCCATTTGAATGGAATATGGTAAACGCTACTGTCTGGCCTGCTGGAGTCCTTGTCAACTGGCTTGAGATGCACCAATCTAGAATACCAAACAGAAATAAAAGTTATTGAATTTCAAATCATGATAAATTGGGGTTGGAATGTATATTCAAAACAAGGGCCAATTGACTAGTATCTTAAAAAAAAAAAAAGGCGCTTCCTAAGCAACTTAAGCACTTCCGAACACTGACGTCTCTCAGCCAATAAGCTAATTCCTGCACCTCTGGGCTTAGCTCATACAGAACGCTTACAACTCTCTGTGTGGAGTAGTGAAGGCGGGGAGAGGAGTTCGGTAAACCCCAAGTAAAAAGTCAAACCGCCCACAAACGGATTGGCTACTTACTTTGAGTGTGCGCCAGGGCACTAGTGTCACTATAACCACTAGAGCCCACTGTAGTTGTTATGGTGGTTGTTGTGTTAGTTTAATAGTTGGTTCTAATAGGCTTCTTAGCGTGACTGGTCTTGGAGTAATTTTTTGACGTCCTACCTGTGTAGGTCCATTTGGGCTTTCTATACTAGGGGTGCCCAAAAGGTAGATCCTCAGATGTTGTAGAACTACAGCCTCGTGATGCTTTGTCATTCTAACGGCATGCGAAGCATCATGGAAGCTGTAGTTCTACAACATTGTGGGATCTACCTTTTGGGCACCCCTGTTCTATACAATGCATGTGTGTTTTAACAATACATATTCTGCATTAGTAATATTACTGACTTTTGCTACTTTTTAAATATTTTTTGCTAAAGTGAAAGGCTAATTGATCAGAAAATGGTGACATCTCTTTCAGATTGCCTTGGAAGATTTTTGATACATATTTAAAAGAAACCGATAGCGTCAGAAATACAAATCAACGCTATAGTGTTCTCCTCACCATTTAGATTATCAGGCCCCCATGCAAAGGTAAAAAAAGCTTTTAAGTCAATTTAAATACCGCGGCATGCTGGTCTCTGTGCTCCCGGTCCCGCCTCCTTAGCTGATGATCTCAGCCAATCCAGTGCTTCCCATTTAAACTGCTATAGTGGTTCTAGTGGCTAGGGTTCCTTTAAAATGTATTTCACGCTCTAGTAAAATATATTTTGAGTAGGCTATTTTTGAGAAAATGGGGATTTGCATATTTGGTCACCAATCTTCTCACATTTGGCAGAAAAAAACAACCACACAGATATATAATTTTCCAGTAAATATGAGTGAAATTTAATAACAAATAAAAAAGAAAGATGTAATTTAAAAAAGAGAATCATGATTCTAAAACATTTGAAAATTGTTCAGAAAATTCTGGAATGTTTCCGGACTTGTAAAAGCTATTTTGTAATATTTGTTTTGGTAAAGGATATACATTTCAGGGACTGAATTAAATTGTAATTCGGGATCTTAAAAAACATTCCAGAAATATTATGGGTCCAGAACAAGACATTTGATGTTGTCTGGATGTTTATGGTTGAAGGGGCAATATTAGAGAGAAGAAAAAGTTTGTTGTTTGTACATTTAAAGATACACTCTAAGCACCATAACTGCAGAACTGAAACCTATTTTTTTTTTCACATAAAAACTGGTGGGGCCCCACGGACGAGCCTCCACCAAGAGAGACCCGGGTAAGTTGTCAAACCGGTCAAAACAGTATTGATAAATTACACTAGGAGGGTGCGAATGCACTGTTGGCACTATGGTCAATACAGTGAGCTGTAGTGTTTATGGTTCTTGGAGTGTTACCCTAAGTATGCTGTAATGAAGCGTGTCTGCTATACAAAATAAGACAATGGGAAAGCATCTTGGGAATGATAGCCCGCAAAACTTGGTCTCAAAACGACTACCTCCTCCCCCCTCCATGGCTGAGATAATCAGTCTTGATGATCCCAGCAAATCCAATGCTTTCCCATAGGAAAGCATTGGGAGGCTGTTGTGCATGCACAGCAAAACACCGCCCTGGCCAATCAGCATCTTCTCAATGAGATGCATTGAATCATTGTATCTCTACGGGGAGCGTTCGGCATCTCCATGCTCGCTGAACATAGGTGCTGAATGTAGGTGCTGCACATAATGCAGCACTGAACTAGGAAGCACTTCTAGTGGCCATCTGAGTGACTGGTACTAAAGGTAGTACTAGGCAACAATGTAAATACTTCCTTTTCTCTGGAAAGGCATTGTTTTTATTGCTCAGCCTGCAGGGAAAAAGCTATAGACAACAGAACAACTACATTAAGCTGTAGTAGTTCTGGTGACCATAGTGTCCCTTTAAGGATACACTTTGATACATTCAGGGTTTTTTTTGTTTTTGTTTTTTAATGCAGCTCTATTATGCATTCCTACAGCTCCTGCAAAGACGGATTTACAACATATTAAATGAAGATGTACACCTACAAAATTAACCATATAAATTTGTCTTAAAAATAATAGTTGGGGGAAAAAAATAAAGTGAAAACATATACATAGGGACTGGCTCTCCTAGAGAGGGACACTTGGGTTGTATGCCAACTTAGACAGATGCTTCTTGTGGCACTACATCTTGACCCAGACTAACACTATGAAGATCAGCTGTGTTAGAATTCCCAGCAGTCTATGCATACTACTGAGCTGACTAGATACAGGGTTCCTTTATTCCTTTATCTTTGCATCATGATACAAACCATTCTGTAATCAAGTAGATACTTCCTGCATTCATAGATTTTTTTTTTTGTTCAGCCATGAGATCGGAATCCTTTAGATCTGGCGACTTTGATTTCATAGTCCGAATTTAGTTTTAAATAGATATCTGTGGGATCCACGTAACCGGTAATCTGGAACGAGCGTGGATTTTCAGAGAGTTACATTCTGTATTATATGAGGTTGTAAAAAACAATGTTGTTATGTGTTTTGACCTGAAAAGCTTACACTCTATTTCTGCTCAGCTAGCCAGAACCATAGAGGTTTCTCCTTTATTCTCTTTGATTCCTGAAAGGCCTGGGAACGGTTCTGAAAGGGGGGCAGGTGGGTTCTGTTAATCATTATAATTTTGTGGCATCTCATAATCTGTTTTTCTAGATCACATTGTGTTCCCGAACTCTCTATCCCTCCGGTAAAACCTTCAAATAACACAAAACCACATTCCTAACAGCTTCTGTTTACTCCACCTAAAATCTTTCACAAATGCTAGAGCTGTCAGAAGCAGTGACACCAAATGTAAAACCACAAATTAGCTTCACAGACATAAAAGGCACCTGTAACAGTGTATTACAGTAAACAAACAAGAATTAACTACCTTAACCAATGCCTAGGGTCAGAAGCAACGCAGAGGGTCCCACTGCTCTCTGGTTCTAATATTCTAGATAAATTCCTACTCACCAATGAGTTAAGGCTAATACCCACTGGCATCGCGCACTCAGGATAAGACCGCAAATGTCGGGGCGTATTCACAAAACGCTGATCTGTTGTGATTTGCACACTGAACTGCAAACTCAGGAAAAAAATAACTAATAACTATAAATCACAGCTTAGACCAGGGGTCCTTAAACTCCGGCCCCCCCCAGATGTTGCCGAACTACATCTCCCATGATTCTTTGAATTACATAGATAGCCAGAGAATCATGGGAGTTGTAGTTCAGCAACATCTGGGGGGATGGAGTTTGAGGACACCTGGCTTAGACCATCTTTCAATTCAGCTTATCATTTCACTGCAATTCAGTTTAAGATTATTTTTTTTGTTAATGAACAACCCCCCCTCCAAAAAAAAAAAAAAAAATATATATATATATATATATATAGTCTGTGGATAGTTAATGCAATGTTAAACAAAAATCTGCACACCAGTCAAGTCATAAGACTTGCTTTTCCCACGGAAATCCCAAGAAACGCAAAAGGGTCATTTTCTATATAAATTATTTCAAATATATGAAAGGGTGGCTTTAGCTGTTAAAGGAACTCTCCAAGCACCATAAAAACTTCATAAAACTGGCTTGCAAAGAAACTTATCTTTTTCAAACCAGTTTTATGAATGGGGATTCACTGATTGGCTGAGAATGTCAGCCTATCCCTCTCAGCCAATTAGTGGTGCCATTGCCTGATTCTCAAAAGCCTTCCCGTTTAGAGATTTTTAGAAAACAGAAGGGCAGAGAGGCAGGGAGATTCGGCCCTGTAAGAAAGACTTTCGAATTACCCATGACTGCTGACCCATTACCATCCCACCGTTGCCCCAAATAAAACACTGGACACCTTTTAAGTGGATAAGGGCAACGGCCACAGCTTTATTAAACAGTAAAAAACTTAATTCTTAATTCCTGCCAGCTGTTGGGTGAGGACCCAACAGGCAGTTCTCCTTCTTTGTTCGCCAAGAGCCCAATCCAGCCGTCGCTAGCCATCAGCCTTGCGACGACTGTCGTCTCCCCAAGGTGACCTTGCGTCATACTCCTTTCCTTTTCGCTTCCGCTGTCCAGGGAAAACCGCCTGCTGTGACAATGAGAGAAAACAAAACACGAAACCACCAACACACCACAACACCAAACAGGGAGGGAGGGTGGGAAATTTAACCAGGGTGACTGACTATCTCCTTCTGACTGGTAAGTCTCCTCCCTTGCTTCACCTTTATGAATCCTTCCATCTTTGCAACATTGTTGCTACCATTGTACCATCCCACTATCCTGGGCAGCAGTCATGCTCCCCCTTCCCTATTTGTCCAGGGGGACACTTTAAGGTGAGCCAGTGCCCGGCACTTACTGGCACCAAAACAACTTAATTTTGATGAAGTGGTTATGGTGCATAAACTGTTCCTTTAAGGCAAAAAACTTTTGGGAAACTGTGTACTGAACAGTAAATTTAACTAAATTAGCCACATTTTGAATGTTGGCCAAATTTGCTGAGTTGGACATTTTTCCACTCACCTGTTTGAACCACACTTTGCTAATTATTGCATAGAGACTACTTTATATATTTAATTCTGTGTCAAGTACGCCTGCATACATATACAATACAGTATATGAATATCCATCAAACAGTATGAGCTGCTCCTTATACTGGAACTCGTAATGTGTTTAGTGACAGGTCATACCTTCCAAGTGTCCCAATTTAGAAGGGACAGTCTCTATTTTTGACCCAAATCCCCATTTTCTATCCAAATGTCCCTCTTTTCTAGGAGCTCCATATTGTTGGCGTGTCTGAGTGTATAACAGAGCTCCACAGCAATAATACTCACAGTAATGTGTCTGAGTGTATAACAAAGCTCTGCAGCAATAATACTCCCAGTAATGTGTCTTTAAACTACAATAAATGTGTTTAGAATTCAGTTTGTGTAAATAAGATACATTGTTCTTGTTCTAAATTACATTTTACTGGTATAAATTGTTATTAGTAAGTCACCAAAAATGTCTCCAAACAGCCCCGCCCCTGGCCACACCCCCACTCACCCCCCTAAAATTAAAGTGTCCTTCTTTCATCAATTAAAATGCTGGTATGAATATATGGTTTCTCACATGCCCAGATTCTGCCAAATGAACTGTAAAACATGGTAGAATGTTAAGCTGGTCCTTACATATTTAGAAGCCAACCACGTTCCCATAGTAGCCAGAAAATGATGTACATAGGGATATGTTTGTAAAACAATTTTAAAAATGAATCCCCAATGATAATGTGTTCAGGAGACTTGGCACCGAGCTTGCAGGCTCGACAATCCCTGATCTCACCACTCATCCCTTTATTGACCGTAGAATCCCACATCTGGCCCAGATATTCAGAAATAAGCCATTCTGTTAGCTCCCTGCCCTGGTCCTAATGTATTACATTTATCTCAAAGTTTAATCTGGGATTTTAAACCACACTACATGATCCTGTGGAGACAGGCTGACATTGCAACATGCTACACATGTTCCCTCTGCAGTTACAGCTGTCAAATCGTTATGAGGTCATTTTTATATAGTATTTTTTGCTGTTAAAACATCTATTTTCATAATAAAAATACACAGTGCTATAGTTGTATTGCTCTGCCACCCTCGTGCATTGTCATTTTCAGGGTTATTCGCTAAACTGAAATTTCAAAGTGAGTTCAAAGTGAATTTAAAATTTAAGGCCAAAATAGTCAATTCGTTGGCATTGCTGAGATAGAGAATTTTCCCAGCTCAGTTATATTTTGGCCTTAAATTTGAAATTCGCTTTAACTTTAAATACTCACCTTTTCGAACAATCCTGTTAATTTCTGTCCGCAATCAGTCAGTCCTGGCTGAGCCTTATTAGAATTGCAGTCCAATTCACTGTGGTGGCTAAAGTTGCCTGTCCTTAGCTCCCCAAAAGGTAAATCACTCTCTAATCAGAAATGTCAAATTGCTCCCTAGTCCTGGGTGGATTATGAATCCCACCGTTCCGAGGACCGCTGTGCCCTAGAGGTGGCTGTCTGAGGATAATAGGAGTTGCAGTTCGACAAGCACTGGAGTGGAGAGCTGTCTGTTGGCTACTCCTCTAAATGTTGGCACATGCACATACACACTGGTGTACAATACCAACCCACATGACATCTGCAATTACTTCCACTGATTTGTTTATGTGTGTTTTAACAAATATAAACAAACACACGTGATTGTGTCTGTGTGCGTACTGGGAGACTGTGCAAACACTTTTAATCACCATCATGCAACTGTTAGCTGAAGGTATACTGTCTCAGTTAAGGAAGGCAAACATGTATTGACACACACTACGATATGTATGTATGTACTTCTGTAAAATGATTTGATAAACAGATACAATGTAAACATGCAGACACAGGTGACCGGATCCTCCCGAGGGAGGGGTGAGGGAATCTCTATGAACAGGTTCAGAACTGAGTGCAGTGATTCATATCGTGGTGTTTGACGCATGAAAATCAAAGAAATATTCGGAGATTGTGTGTGCCCATGATCATGTCTGTTCGTGTATGCATTTGTGTATTCATGTGTGTGCGTCAGTGCCCATCCATGTATTATTTTTGTTTGTGTATGCCCGCATGGGTTTCCATATGCCCGTTTAATGGTCGACACGCATGTTAACGTGATGATTTCTCTATCCTTCGCTATCCATACGTCTTCACGTGTATTATCTATGTTTGTGAATTATGGTCACCACGTAACCATTTTGATCTGGGAGCTAATGAATTCTTCATTCTAACAGACATGGTTTCAGAGTGCTGCCCAGCAATGTGTATGTGGGGTTGCCAGGTGTGCTCGACATGAAAAGTCCTGCCTTGTAGAATGCGACATTTATATGCTGTGGGAGTCCAAATCAATGCATGTAATCAATGCCTTTCCTTTGGGATCACTCCTTCATTGATTAATTCATTAATTGACTTCCCTTCTGTAACATAGAGATAATATGTAACAAATGAGTGCAAGCACTTTTCATGCACTGCCTAATTTAATGAAATACGATACACGCAAAGATTGTTGATATGAAGACCTTAGAATTCATATACTCCTGGTATCACATAAATTAGCTAAATATGTTGGTTATGACTAGGTAATTGATTTTAAACCAGGAACACATTCTATACAATACCATTGCTTTTTTCACAACATTTAGCAAAACAGGGGGGCTTTAAAGAGTTCCGGATGCTGGAGTCCTAGCCCTTTAAATCCCCCTCCCCATCCTGTTATTTTTCTGTAGCATTTTCAAGACAATATTATGTGTGCCACAATATATGGCCACGGTGAAACAGAGGAAACTATATTCTACTTGATCATCGGGATATAATACCATTAATATGGACCTGGCAAATGGTGGCACAGGTGGTTAGGAGAGGGTGATACTTATTATTACTATTTTATTATTTATATAGCGCCAACAGATTCTGTAGCGCTGTACAATGGGTGATACTTAGTTGAGAAGCAAGGGTAGTAGAAAAAAGTAGTAAATGGTGAGACTGGAGTGGGGGAGACGGTTATACCGGACTGGCATGGCAGGTATTGTGGGAACATGTGGAGGGAGAATGGTGACACTTTGGTGGGGAGGAAATGGTGAGTGTGGAGGGGGAGATGGTGATGCTGGGTAGTAATTATTTGTTTAAGGGTCAGAATAAGAAAGGACAAGACGTTTTTTAGTCTACGTAGAAGCCGGTCAGATTGAGACTAAGGGGTCAAGTGATTGAACTTACAGGGTTCAGTGGTGGAGTTAGGAAGGGGCCATAGGGATCAGCCAATACATTTTGCTTTGGACTCATGCCCCGTCATTTTGCAACATACCAGCCCAACTGATACAGAGAATTTTCGTGTTAACTTTTCAAATAAACCTTCAATCTCTCTGTGTGAGTATCTGCTAAGAAGCAACATGTGTATATATATATGTAATGTGCGATGGAATCTTTGTCTGTAGTGTTTATAGTGGAACATTTTGTGTATGTCTGAGCTGGATATATATGATGTTTGGAAGTCTATATATTGATGAATGTGTAGAGTTGGAAATTAAAACACCCGCACATCCATTAAGGATCAGTAAATCCTATTTTATTTTTAGAGATCAGTAAGTTAGATCAAGATTTGTTTCACTGCCCCAAGGATAGGTTTAAAAGCTCTTCTAAAACACTTTATTCCTGACTTCCTTTTGAGGTCAATGGTTTGCTTTATGAACCCAATCACAGATTAAAACCAGGTGAATGATCGCCACGAGTGCTTTTAAAGAGAATTCCATGATTGATGGATGGATCATTACTGATCCCGAGCGGTACCCTATCTTTCCAGCAATATGGATGTCTGTCTGACAGTCAAATCATGTCTCCATCAGAAAAGAACATTGGAAACTCTGTGCCTTTCAGCATTCCCTACCATGCACCAGGGACATGGGGTGGAGTATCTCAGATACTGGGCTTGATAGCAGATGTGCTTGTGTGGTGAACAGGGGGTCGTTTAAGTACATGGCATGGACATGCTAGGGTTGTGCCAACCTGCCATTTTGGTTTCATATGTGTAGAGCCCGGCAAACGATCTCTGTTAAGTCTAAAATAATATTCACAATGATGAGCATATGAGGATAATCTCTAATGTCACTGACACACACACTCAATGACAGACATACACTCACTGACACACACACACACACACACACAGAAACTGACTGACAGACACACACACACACACTCACTGACATACAGATAAACAGATACATTAAAGCTTTAGCACTGGGAATGCATGTTTTTATTCCCAGCTCTGTAGTGTTCCTTTTTGACAAAGTAATCCTTGTCTGTTCTATATAAACACACTTTTGTGCACTGTAATCTAATTGGTTGTCCTATAGAATTTTTAAACTGCTGATTGGAAGAGGATCCACAATTGGATGGCCACCATTTTTATCGTCCTCATCACTATATCAGGTTTACTTTGTTGCAATGCCTTATGGGTAAAGTGTTACCTGTTGAATGTTTGGTGAGTGCACTGCTTATATAAGTTGCATCGTCTTTTAATGTGAAATCAGCTGGTTCCTGGAATTCTAAAAATACCAGCCATGATTACACGACATCAAATTAATTCCCCATACTTTTGGCATCTTTTTTTTATAAGGCCAACAAAAAATTCAGGATTCAGACAATTTGATTTCCGGACTGAACTGTGTTATCAGAAAATAAAATTCGATTTCATTTTTGATCCAAACTGGGAGAATTCTCCAAGTCAGCTGTGTTTTCTGTTTGGTTATTTTAACTTAAATGGGCAGTCTATGCATAATAAGCATTACATGTTGATGTAGTGGTTATAGTGCTAGTAAGCTGCAGGTGCTCTCCCTTGTGTCTTGATAAAACCATTTTTGCATAGTTTGACCATAGCACCTATTGCCCAACCTCCACTCTCAGGATTGGTCGTTCAGGAGTTCCAAGTCTGCATTAGCAATATGAATTTGGATGACAGTGATAGGCTGCACATGTTAGCTGACGGGCTCAGCCACTCACTGCTGTCCCAATATGGGCGAAACTAATATTTGGCAATTTTGTGGAACATGGTGCCCCCCTTAGACTAACCCATTAGTGTATAGCTGTAAAAAGTGTCCTGAAAAAATGCAGGCACATCATTTACCCAGAAAACCAGATGATGGCCAAGGAAGTCTCTGCAAGACAGGCCTTTGGGGTTCTGTTTTGTTAGTAAAATAAAAACATTTCTGTGTTGGAATGCATAAAATATGTCCATTTAAAGGTTGACATTTTACGTCACTAAAGTACTTTTCTTAGCATTACTTTTGTGTAAATTAAGCTGTTAAATCACTAATCTGCCTGTAGGGTGTGTGAAGAACACTTGTACTTCACAGAACTATAGTATATCTGGGGGAACCAGCATTTTCAACTTTGCACCTGCAGGTTGTCACTGTCACTTAGCAATGTCACCCAGTGTGGGCTTGAGAACAGCTGCTGTGAATCTCCTATCCCTTTAAGAATGCAAACAATCCGTGCAAGGGGATTTCTGCAGAAATCAGAAGGTGTCAGACTATGAAAGAGGTGCTATAGACTCTGTGAGGGAGAGATATCAGACTGTTCTGTTCTGAAAAGTAGTGTAACGATGTAAGAAGGGGAGGAATCATCAATGGAATGTGCTTGCTGCTTGCACTGGTTTCCATGGCGATTGCCCCACTTTTAGTACTTTGCAACACTTTTCAGAAAATAGCACCTTGATAAATCACCCCACTGTGAAAGTAGAAAGTAAAATACTCCCCTGAGCCTGTCCTGATAATCTGAAAGGTCACTGTAAATTATATATAAACCCAGCACTGTCTGAGCCTGTCCTGATAATCTGCAGTCAGGATGTCGCTGTACATTATATATAAACCCAGCGCTGTCTGAGCCTGTCCTGATAATCTGCAGTCAGGAGGTCGCTGTACATTATATATAAACCCAGCGCTGTCTGAGCCTGTCCTGATAATCTGCAGTCATGATGTCGCTGTGCATTATATATAAACCCAGCGCTGTCTGAGCCTGTCCTGATAATCTGCAGTCAGAAGGTCGCTGTACATTATATATAAACCCAGCGCTGTCTGAGCCTGTCCTGATAATCTGCAGTCAGGAGGTCGCTGTACATTATATATAAACCCAGCGCTGTCTGAGCCTGTCATGATAATCTGCAGTCAGGAGGTCGCTGTACATTATATATAAACCCAGCGCTGTCTGAGCCTGTCCTGATAATCTGCAGTCATCATGTTGCTGTACATTATATATAAACCCAGCGCTGTCTGAGCCTGTCCTGATACTCTGCAGTCAGGAGGTCGCTGTGCATTATATATAAACCCAGCGCTGTCTGAGCCTGTCCTGATAATCTACAGTTAGGAGGTCACTGTACATTATATATAAACCCAGCGCTGTCTGAGCCTGTCCTGATAATCTGCAGTCAGAAGGTCGCTGTACATTATATATAAACCCAGCGCTGTCTGAGCCTGTCCTGATAATCTGCAGTCAGGAGGTCGCTGTACATTATATATAAACCCAGCGCTGTCTGAGCCTGTCCTGATAATCTGCAGTCAGGAGGTCGCTGTACATTATATATAAACCCAGCGCTGTCTGAGCCTGTCCTGATAATCTGCAGTCAGGAGGTCGCTGTACATTATATATAAACCCAGCGCTGTCTGAGCCTGTCCTGATAATCTGCAGTCAGGAGGTCGCTGTACATTATATATAAACCCAGCGCTGTCTGAGCCTGTCCTGATAATCTGCAGTCAGGAGGTCGCTGTACATTATATATAAACCCAGCGCTGTCTGAGCCTGTCCTGATAATCTGCAGTCAGGAGGTCGCTGTACATTATATATAAACCCAGCGCTGTCTGAGCCTGTCCTGATAATCTGCAGTCAGGAGGTCGCTGTACATTATATATAAACCCAGCGCTGTCGGAGCCTGTCCTGATAATCTGCAGTCAGGAGGTCGCTGTTCATTATATATAAACCCAGCGCTGTCGGAGCCTGTCCTGATAATCTGCAGTCAGGAGGTCGCTGTACATTATATATAAACCCAGCGCTGTCTGAGCCTGTCCTGATAATCTGCAGTCAGTAGTTTGCTGTACATTATATATAAACCCAGCGCTGCCTGAGCCGGTCCTGATCATCTGCAGCCAGGAGGTCGCTGTACATTATATATAAACCCAGCGCTGTCTGAGCCTGTCCCGATAATCTGCAGTCAGGAGGTCACTGTACAATACATAGAACAGACAGTGCCAGGGGACTCAAGAAACTATAACCACTTTTATCAGATAAAGCAATTACAATGTCTAGTATTCCGTTAATACTACCCGCTGTGACACACAGTGACCCTATGTTGCCAGGGTCCTTAGAAAGTGACAGTGCTAATTCTCGCGAGTCACAAGCACACATCTGACCATCACTCTGCCTCAAATCTGATTTAAACATTCACTATTGAGTGAATAAACGCCCAAATACCATGCTGAGAAACTACTCTCCAGCTACATATGGTAATTTGAATTTTATATAAACTCTTACAAGCCTGTAATAAAATTTGACTTTTATTATAGTTACTGAAATCTTTATTTATTTCTGCTTGTGGTCTGTCATTCCTTCGCTGTTTATTTTAGTTCCCTGGGTTTCTATACAATTGCTAAGTCGCGTTTTCCAAAAATAGCTTGCCATAATACGCTTTTATTTTTTTAATTAGACTTTAATTACATTTTATGATTTTTTTTAAGGCCACATTTAAATGCATCTGCCATCTCTCATAACATTTTTGATAGATTCCATTTAAATATTCTCACTCGCGGCAGATCTATGCAATTTATGGGATTTTCCTCAACTCTCACAAAATGATTCCGATACCATACCTCCCAAGTATCCTTGTTTTTGTGACTTTTTTTTTATTTTTATTTTTTTTATGATTTTCTCAATCTTTTATATAAAATTGGATTTTTGCCTGATAGGTGTATTACAGACTTCAAATAAAATATATATTTAAAGCACGTCAAATGTGCGACAATAGCTTGTGCCGATTTTGTTCTTTAATTTCACAAAATTAGCTTTTAGTGACAGAAGACTATCCATAGGTGATAAAGTCACTTAAAAATCTTCTGAAGTGTTCACAACCCATTAAAAAAAAAAAATCATATTATTGTTTTAGCCTTAGTGTTGTCCCACTGATAGTTGAACCTTTGTATGTAAGAAAACACACATGGGATCTTTACTTCCTAAATGTAAGACGTGTTCAGGTGGGAAATAGAGTAGCCACCACTTTATGTGCTTTCATGACCAATTTTCATCATGTCAACCATCAAGGACAGAGAAGAACTGGGATAGTAGTGCAGTTTTTTATGACAAAGCTACGATTGGATCCTGATTTCCAATGGCCTTTCCACTGCCCGGTCAAGATGTCCTATCTCGAGCATAACTGCTTTTAGCAATAAATGGGTATTCTACTGTGTTGGAGATACGTTAGGGTCACCCTTCCACCACATGATGCAGCTCCTGGAGACCTTGTCAGGTTTACCCCACCACCGAGTCCCTCTTCTGCTGAGCTACACGTGTAACTATCTCTGACCTGAAGTGTACCAGTTCTCTGCATTTGCTACAAATACAAAGTACAGAAAATCCTGTTTGAGACTGAAAACCATAAAACCAGTAATACTTCTCAATTTTTTAGATAAATTGGTAAGTTGGTGGTGGGACTGGAACCCCGAGGAATAACTCGAAGTCTGGAAAATTTCCAATTGGTGCATATTATACTTTCCTAGTGATTTCTCTCAGTATCTATCAAAAATAAGGTGTCATTTATTGCTTCCTTACCAGGTTATATTAAGATTTATGTAGTTTATAATGTGTAATAATTTTGCACCTGTGGTGCACGATTCCCAACTGACTTGACAATCCATACTGCTAAGAACACCTGAGGTATGTTTAAGCCCTGGGTTGATGTAAAGTTCATTGACAGGTGGATATTTTAGGTCGTAAGTCCAAAAATGTCCAAATGTGGATAACCACTTAAAATGAATGTGACTCAACTTCTCTTGGACTGAATAGAGTTGAATCTTTTAAACGTTGGCACTTTTATTGTTAAATCTATAGTGAAAACCTCTCCAACTGTTACTTGTAAAATCTCCAATGATTTTCTGTAGTGTACCAATCCATATAACCTCTCCCACTGCATGCCCTCAACATATAAACAGCCTCGAGCTATACACTGCACATGTGTGATCCTGCAATCTGGCTCAATGTGTAATAGGAACATGTTTCTATTTCCTCCTGAGAGTTTGTATACGGCTTGTTCACGGATTCCGGACCCTCTGATCTCTGCAGTGCATGAACTTTGATGTGGATCGCGTCTGCTGCGAGACATGTGCTTCTTATATAGGGTATTAAAGAGCAGAGTGAGCCCATGTAGTTTAGTTTTAAATCAGGAACCACAGAATTATGTTCTGCACTACAGAAAAACTCTTTGTTTCAATTTTTTTATTCGCTCTGTCTTTTTCTCTCCCTCATTTAAATTTGTCATGCGTGGAACACATTCTGCAATGGATCTTTGCAAACCCTGATTTATTTTACAACGTCTTGTTATCAAGTATTTAATGTAAAAACCCTCGCCATAATGCTAATGTTACTCTAGGCAGTCTTCTGCCGAAGGGCTTCTCTAAATAACAGATCGTAGACCGGGGGATCTTAAGCAGATTGCAAGGTCTGTTGTCGTGATCCAGATATGCCTCTGGTATACAACTTAACATTGTTCCTTCTGCTCTCTTGGTTCAACCTGGGACAGGCGGTGAGAGGTAAAATCGGACAGCTGCAGGCCCCTCAGGGTGACTTGGCCCTAAGCAAACACATCTGCGTTAATAAGAAGACTTTGTAAAATTTTATGTAGTGATTGTAGACTTTACCTGCAGCTTTCTGGTCTTGTGCAATAGCTTCCTCATATTTCTTATTGTTGACATTTCACTAGATCTATGTTTCACCCTAACACATTTTTTTTTAAATATTTTTTTTAAATGATATTCTAGGCATCAAAACAACTTTAGCTTAAAGAAGCAGTTTGGGTGTATAGATTATATATACCTCTTCAGTCTCACTGCTCAATTCTTATGTAGCCCTAGTCACACCTTCTCTGGCTGTGACTCACACAGCCTGCATGAAAAAATTTGTTTCATTTTCAATCAGATGTTAACTTGCTTTAGTAGTTTTACCTTCTGCTCTATTAATGAAACTTTAATCACATACAAGAGGCTCTATAAAGTAGGCTATTAACAGAGCAGAAGATAAGAAATTCTAGATTAAACAGAATGTGCAGCACTTTCAGGTACTATTTATGAAGGCTGTGCAAGTGACATGCAGGGAGGTGGACTCGGGCTGTATAAAGAAAGTGATATAATTCCTAAATAGCAGAGAAGTGAGCAGTGAGACTGCAAGGGACATCTATATACCAAAACTGCTTTATTAAGCTAAAGTTGTTTTGGTGCTTATAGTATTCCTTTAACTCTTGCATCAATTCTTTCTTTTTTCTTTTTACGATAAATAATGGTAAATATAGCAGTCAGAGTAAATACTCAACACAATAATAAATTGTTCAAACTCATACACTCCTTGTGGAATAAACCCTTTCCCCACCACCACCACCAGGGGGCTTTAATTGAGAGTGAGCATTTGGAATATACATTGAGCAGCTTCGCCAGATAACAAGAAATATGACTGCTTCTGGTAACTTTAGAACTAGTAAGGCCTGCTTTACCAGTGATGTGGAAAACCACCACTAACATTGTGACAGCCATTATTTCCAAGTTTAATGGTATTGTCATCGTCCATATAGATTGATAGGAAGGTCATCTTCCAGTAGGTTTACCCATTTAATATGTACATATTATATCCGTAAACCATGCACCTTGTATCAAAAAAGCAGACATCTTAGGTCCAAAATGGCACCTTGCACGGGTTTACAAAGATTAGCACCCTGGGTAGTCACTAAAATGACAGTGGGCGGGAGGGAACATGCCGAGATTAAAGCAAAATGTTGCACTGGAGTTTTGAACTGGAGTGAATCTTCGTCTGAATACTGTGTTTATTGAGCTACTTGCATGGAATCCATCTCCCATGTGGTTTATACACCTAACTTGGTAAATGGAGAGTTTGGACACCATGGATCTCTTAACCCTTTAGATGTTCTTCATATCCCCAAGTGGCAATCAAGTATGTGTCAGTGGCAACAAGTATCTCTTTTTGTGCATGTCCTTCTCACTACTTGTGGGCACACGTGCTGCCAAGAATGGAATGGAACTGAACAGTAGTTGGGTAGACAGGAATTCTGGATTTGGGTAGACAGTGAATTTATATTTTGAAAGGATGAGGGATGAGTGGAGCTGGTTCGGGGTGCCAAATGTTGATCAATATAGTGTCCTCAGCTGTCAAACCCTGAAGCAAATAAAACACTAACACCACAGTCTAATTCAGGGGTCCTCAAACTCCCGCCCCCAGATCTTGCTGAACTACAACTCCCATGATTCTCTGGTTATCTATGTAATTCAAAGAATCATGGGAGTTGTAGTTCAGCAACATCTGGGGGGCCAGAGTTTGAAGACCCCTGGTCTAATTCAATGCTACAGCTGGACGGAGAGAAAGGATGCCTTCCCATCTGCTAAAAAAACTGCAAACCGCTCTCTGGTCTGGATTGTATCATTCTTCACCTTTGTGTCAAAACAGATTGGAGACAGATTTCTTTCTGTTCTTGTTCAACAGATGTTTATAGGATGGATCATCTTAATAGAACCCGGTGTGACAAAAAGAAGGATCAGGACTACACTAGGAAAGCTCTCTATCCTGTTGTATTGTTTGACAAATAGAAGAGATGGATATTTATAGAGACAAATGATGTTTTTGGACCCTTACTGCACGAATGGTAATGTCATCTGCACAGTTATTCCCTGTAATAAACGGGTAATAATTCACGGATTGTCTCCATGTGGATTGAGGGTCTAAACTCAAGCAGGACGTGTATGTCCCATTTCTGGACTTACAGTAAAGGCTTCCACACTACAATATACAACACAATAAACCCTATGTTATCCTAAAACACTACACTAACATGAACCCCTACACTACACATTACCCCGACACTACACATTACCCCTACACTACACTGACATTAACCCCTGTACTACACATTACCCCGACACTACACTGACATCAATCCCTACACTACACATTACCCCGACACTACACATTACCCCTACACTACAATGACATTAACCCCTGTACTACACATTACCCCTACACTACACTGACATTAACCCCTACACTACACATTACCCCTACACTACACATTACCCCTACACTACACTGACATTAACCCCTATACTACACATTAACCCCTAATTATCACTAATATTAAATTTTAACTCCTACACACTAACTTCTACAGTGCACTAACACTAGACAGTAACCCCTACACATCACTAACACTAAATGTTAGCCCCTACATTACACACTAATCAACTACACAATAACCTCTACACAACACTGCACATAAACCCCTATACTACACATTAACCCCTACACTACACATTAACTAATGGTAACATCACTAACACTACACATTAACCCCTACACATCACTAAAACTAAATGTTAACTCCTACATATCACTACCTTTACATTTACACTAACACTAATGCTAACCAAAAAATATTGTGTAATCTAAAAGATGCGTGATGGTGAAGCATGTATTATGGGAAATAATGCCATCTGGGTGAGGGAGGAGAGAGATGTAGGGATAGGTCGGGGTATAGAAGTGATACATAAAAGGTGGTTGGTGCGGGCAAGAAGAGAGTGAAAAGTGGAAAGGTGTGCATAGGATGATACAGCATGGGAGAGCGGGTGGTAAGATTAGGCAAAAATCTGAATGGGTTCTGGGAAGAAACACATCAGTACGGGAATCATCGAGAAAACACGTACAGAGATACCAGTGCTAGAGGGGTCATGTCGGACATTCAGTGGGTCCATGAAAAAACTGTCTGAAGGAGAGTATGTGCTGAGCGCAGGTAGCAAAGGTTTGCCTGCAAGGCATGGGAAAAGAATGTCAGAGCCACAGCCTCCAGGCCAGGTCTGGTTAGTTCCCAATATATACATTGTCATGAAACATTTTAATCATAATGGGATTTTGAATTCATAACTCCTGGAAACCTAAACTTCTCTGTTTGCTGCAGGTTGGGGACACGACCTCCCCAGTCCAGAATGGGAACAGATCATTCTGTAGTAACTTATGGTGTTAAAGGAACACTATAGGTTCAGGAGCACAAACATGTATTCCTGACCCTATAGTGTTAAAAACACCATCTAGCCCCCCTAAGCACCCCTGCCCCCTAAATATAGCAACATCTTACCTTTATTGCAGTCTGCTGCTGCTGGCTCTGCCCCTGATCTGCCTGCATGGCTGACATAATCAGAAGTGGTGTTCTGAGCAAATCACAATGCCTTCCTAGAGGAAAGCATTGGATTGGCTGAGACTGTCAATGAGGCAGATCAGGGGCAGAGCGAGCACAAGCCAAACACAGCCCTGGCCAATCAACATCTCCTCATAGAGATACATTGTATCAATACATCTCCATGAGGAAAGTTCGGTGTCTCCATGCAGAGGATGGAGAAACTGAATGTCAGTTACATTGTCTAGCACTGCCTCTGAAAAGACCGTGTTTACTGCAAAAAGCCTGAACGGAATGATTATACTCACCAGGACAAATACCGTAAGATGTACTTGTTCTGGTGACTACAGTGTCCCTTCAAAGATACCCCCTCCATGATTGTGCCACATGAATACCAGGAATTCCATACACTGGGCTCCCCCAGGCTTCATCCAACAGATCTTGTGGAGCAGATTAAAAAGCAAAGCAATGAGGGTCATTGATGTATAGGGAGCTTTTAATTTAGACCAAGTCAGGAAGACGAGGTAGATCAAATGGGACTCAACAAATCCATTGATCATTTTCCAGGAAATACAGTTATAACCACATGGGGAGGGGGTGGAACAATGTGACTGAGCAATGTCCCTTGGCTGGTGTGCACACGGGCAGGGCAATATGGGAGTGGTAATCTATCTGGGAGTCTGCAGCTCAGCAGTCCTAATATTGACCTCCCATCATCGTAAACCCTGCTTGAATACAGGTGAAGTTATTAAGTATATTGAACTTGAAACCGTTTTCATAGTGTTTTGTATTGAAGCTGGATGGCTGGAACATTTGGCCAATCAGCACGCAGAACCTTTGGACTCATAAAGGATTCATACTTTGAACAGTGTTGAGTACTGATGAGAAGAATTGTGGATCCCTGCCTTTTACAATGTTTTGCCTTGATATTAACATTTTGATTCTTCTCCACAACAAACGAACATTTATCTAGTTGTTAATAATAGGTAAAGGGTGAAATAATTCCACAACAATAAACGGAAATGGTCACTTCTCTGGAATTTAAACTATATAATCAAACATTGTAAATAACCTATAACTTGTGATAAAGTGGCTCTGCCTCCTTCTGGGGTCTTTGCGTGTTTTACAAAGACCTCAGATGGTGACTCTACTGCTTGCAATGAGGTGGTCGTAGGGTGCAGTGAAAGGTGAGTTTTACTTACCTCACTCAGTCCATCATCTTCCTGACGGTCCTGGTTGTGAGATGATCAGATGAATCTGTGCTATGACAAAGACTATTTTGCTGCATCTAATTAGAACTCATCATGGCATTACATAGGCATTGACAACCACAAGGTGACATATTGTTTCTCTTGCAATAATTCCTATTATTGGCTGTTAGTAATATCTGTGTGTGTTTCTCATCGTGGGCACAAAGGTAAAATACGCATTTACTAGTGATGGACCTTGGGGTAAAGACAAAGGACACCTAGCTATATCTGGCGTGTCTACCTTCCCTCATTCTCATGAGATCATCTTTCTTTTTAATGCATATATTTTTTCATATTGAACTTTTCAGTAGCTACTCATTCTTTCTGGAGCGGCCTTTTCATCTAACCTAACTGTATTTGATTGCTCAATCTTTACAATGTGTTTTGCCAGTTAAATAACTCTCCTCTGTCATATATTTGCCGGTCTGATCACGATCTATATATAGGCATGTTCTTATCCGTAGGGCTTGTTATCATAGCTCTTCTCAGCTTACTCTTATCATCTCCACTTCGTGACTTCGTGACCTGAGGTATGTCTCTGTCTAATTAGATCTGTCTCTAAACTGCTGTTTGGTTTGAGGTCTTCCAAAATGTCCAATTGGTGTCTATGAGATGAGCTCAGTGAGTCTAAATCCATTTGGCACTTTACGTATCTTTGAGATGACTACTCAACCGCTGTCTGTCTGTCTGTCTGTCTGTCTATCTATCTAGCTATCTCTCCATCTATCTATCTATCTATCTATCTATCTCTCCATCTATCTCTCTATCTATCTGTCTATCTATTTATCTCACTGTCTACCTACCTATCTACCTATATATCTATCTCTCCATTGCTCCATCTATCTTTCTATCTGCCTGCCTGCCTGCCTGCCTGTCTGTCTGTCTGCCTGTCTGTCTGTCGATACATCCCATTTCCCATGATATAGCATAAAAGTCTCTGTTCTCCTTCGCTAAGAAAATTCAAACAAAAAAATGTGTTTTTTTTTAAATTGCAAAAATCATTCTACTTATTGTAACATTGATCCTAGAACTGGTATTTAACAAAGACTTTACTGGGTATCTAAATCATCACTGTTAGGATATAAATTTTTAAAGGATGCTGCTAAGTTTGGGGTCAAGATCTTGGGAGACATACAGCTAAGAGTGAAGCTATTGGGTTTTATTTAAGGGGCCTTAGAGTTAAGTGTGGTGGTTAGGGGTGGAGGGGCCTAATACGTCAGGCTGAGATTGATGGGAGTTACCATCCTTAACATTTTTCAGTGTACCCTGTGCAAGAATGACAGATTCTCTGTTTATTTATTTATTACTGGCATTTATAAAGCGCCAACATATTCCGCAGCGCTGTACAATTGGGAAAGACAACACAATAAGAACAGACCGATACAATAGGTAGATCTATAAATTGCATCCTAAGTGTGCTGCGTTTCTTTAAAACCTGTTCCATTATAACGTTGCTATAAAGATGTTTGATTTTTACAAGCCGCCATTTTAGAATGAATCTTACACTTTACGAGACTAATACACCACTTAAACTTTAAGTTACTCTTTCTAAAATAGTTTAAAAATCAGAATATTTTTTACGTACTGCTCTGTAATTATCCTGTTCACTCTATCACACAATAATTTAAATATTGGGCCGAGGTAGGCAAGTTCAAACCTCCAGAATTCCAGCCTTAAACTTGATATTCACTTTGATTTAACTTTGAATTTCCAAAGATTCTCCCGTTAGCGACTGACCTGGACAGTTGCGGCTGATGGTCCCTTACCTCTCGAGAGACAGCTGCATCTCATCAAGGATTGCTGATTTGGGATATATACTATTTTGAATGTTTGTCTAACTCTTGACCCGCACTTTCCTTTTTCAGGTCCTGCTGAAGGCCGACAAGAAGAATTGTCCACACAATCAATACACAGACAGCGGGGAATGCTGCCATACATGTGGATTAGGAGAGGGGGTTGTACAGCGTTGTGGAGCAAATCAGACTGTCTGCGAAACCTGTCTTGACAGTATGTACAGACCTAATCATCTACTGCAATTTACCCAAATAGTTGCACTTCAGTGAGGCGTAAAACAAGACATTTTAGGGGCAAGTTCTTCCTGCGGAAGACCATTTAAAAAAAAGTGACTCCTACACAAGATACTTTTGTAGACAAATAAATGGAACTGTCATATCGTTACTATCTGTTAAACAACAAAGTTACAGTTTTTATTACTTATTTAAAATTTAGCAGCATTCATCCAAGGCGGTTTGCTTGGATTTTTGGGGGGTAGATAGACGAGTGGATGGCAGTGTTAATTTTGTCGACTAACTATTTTAGTCAAATTTTCGATGACTAACATTTTTGAGATTTAGTCGACTAATACTAGACTTAAACTAAAACAATACAGATGACTAAAATATGACTAAAACTAAAATGGCTTTTTATCAAAAGACTATGACTAAAACTAAACTGAAATTTGTTGCCAACATTAACAATGCACAGAGTGGCTGTGGAAGGGGCAAAAGAGACAGACCAGGGCTTGGGAGAGAGAGACACCTAGAAGGGCTGGGAGGACACAAAGAGACACAGAGGGGCTGGGGAAGGGGCAAAAGAGACAGACCAGGGCTTGGGAGAGAGAGACACCTAGAGGGGCTGGGGTCACACAAAGAGACACAGAGGGGCTGGACAAGGGGCAAAAGAGACAGACCAGGGCTTGGGAGAGAGAGACACCTAGAGGGTCTGGGATGACACAAAGAGACACAGAGGGGCTGGGGAAGGGGCAAAAGAGACAGACCAGGGCTTGGGAGAGAGATACATCTAGAGGGGCTGAGAGGACACAAAGAGACACAGAGGGGCTGGGGAAGGGGCAAAAGAGACAGACCAGAGCTTGGGAGAGGGACACCTAGAGGGGTTGAGAGGACACAAAGAGACACAGAGGGCTGCGGAAGGGGCAAAAGAGACAGACCAGAGCTTGGGAGAGGGACACCTAGAGGGGCTGAGAGGACACAAAGAGACACAGAGGGGCTGGGGAAGGGGCAAAAGAGACAGACCAGGGCTTGGGAGAGAGAGACACCTAGAAGGGCTGGGAGGACACAAAGAGACACAGAGGGGCTGGGGAAGGGGCAAAAGATACAGACCAGGGCTTGGAAGAGAGAGACACCTAGAAGGGCTTGGAGGACACAAAGAGACACAGAGGGGCTGGGGAAGGGGCAAAAGAGACAGACCAGGGCTTGAGAGAGAGAGAGACACCTAGAGGGGCTGGGAGGACACAAAGAGACACAGAGGGGCTGCGGAAGGGCAAAATAGACAGACTGAGGCTTTATCTAAACCCAGTAGATTTTAGTCTTGGTGACTAAAATCTACTGGAGATTTAGTTAACTAAAACTAAAACAATTCAGATGATTAAAATACGACTAAAACTAAAATGGCTTTTTTAGTCAAAAGAATATGATTAAAACGAAATTAAAATTTGCCACAAAACTTAACACTTGTGGATGGTAAGTCATGGCAACAGGGAGAACATAAGGACCTAAGGGATCCTTGTGCCAACCTCGAATTGGGATATGGTCCGTTGTGCCAATGTGAATGTGTTTGGGAAGAGAATGGGTCAGAAATGGGCAATGAGAGGTAGAGAAGGGGGTGAATAAAGAGCTCCAAGACACTTAGTAGTGTAGAGCCCTATTGTCTTCCATGACCTCTGTTTAAGTTTCTATAGGAAGTTTTGCATGAATTTGAGAACTTGCTATGTTTTTGAAAAATATTATTTTGACTATTTCTGTATGCATCTGATTAACATAAGTGTAAATCTCTGTATTTTGAACACATTTTATGTTGGGATTTTTTTTAGTAATTTTTAGGGGAGGGGGACCACGTGCACACGCTAATGCAATGCCAATTACGAAGTCAATGAACAACTAAAGAGGAATTGTTTCCTATCACATTTAAACAAATTAACCCATCTGGTCATATCTGGAGAAAATCATTGCCAAACATAGTTTGCAGTTTGCTTTTTGGGGTATGTTTCAGGCTTAGAAAAAGTAGAGGTTGTGCTTACGCAAATGTTGACGCTGCTTAAACAGGTCGCCTAATAAGCATCGGCAACATTGTTTAGCTTAGTAAATAACATTATCATGGGTAGAACATGAATATCATATCGATCAGACACTTACCTAAATGTACCTTTAACCGTTTCTGTGGTTTCTATATGCTCGCGTGACTCTCAGTGACGCCACCTGTCCATTATGTGGTCAGTGTGTGTTCAGAGAAATGCTTAAAATATTTATATGATGAATTTGAAGGGATATGATCACTAAAGATTAAGCAGTGGTGAATGAATAAAGAGAAATTACAAAACATTTGCCAAAAAATGCTAATTTTTCTTAACTTTCCAGTTTCGACCTGATTTTGTTTATTAATTTGCCACGGTCCACTGATTAGTGCGTAAACCCGAAAATGATTAAAAAATTATGGTGAACGTTGTAGATCTGAGGTACCCAAAATGAAGAGCGTCAGCAATTTAACTACAGCTCCCAGCAATTTCCTTGTAAACCAAATGCCAGAGAAATTGTTTTATTTCAACAACAGAGCTCTTTTTAATCAAATAATTCCGAGCATTTTATTTTTGCCAAAACCACTGCCAAATTGTAAATTTTTCCCAGTTTTGTTTAATAAAAGTTTGCAGCAGCATGCCGTTACGCTCATAGAAAAATGTTTAGTGCAAGTATAACCATTTCAGTGCCTGGTATATTTATGTCTATAGAATATTTTATAATACAATGAAATGAGAACGTATTTATATAATCATACCAGAATCTCTGATACTGCATATAATCCCTCGCTACAAATTATCTAAATGCTCTGTAGCAAATCTTCCTATAAAATCGTCTCGTATCCCCTTGTGTAGACAATGGGTTAATTTTACAGCTGCTCCCCAGACATGGGCACTACTCTGCCCCCCTCAGGGTAGCCTCTCTTTATGTCCTTCAAATCAAAATCTGGATTATATCTGCCATAATGTAAACCTCATTACTACAAAATCAATGGCACCCTCCCCTCTTCCTCCTATGTCCTTGACTGTGACCTTGGGAGGACAGAGAGTGTTCATTGTCATAGACTGCAATGTAGAAGCATCTCTAATATTTACGTATCACATCAAGAAAGAAAGATGTCTAATTCGGGAGGGGTAAAAAACACTTAACAATGAGAAGCTTTGTTTAAAGAATGGTTTGATCACTCAATAAAACATCCATTCTCACAGAGGGCAGCGTTACTTTTCGGAAATGAGTCGGACTTCTTCAAATTTATTTGTGTTCTGATCGAGCAGTGAGTTATTCAATTTATTTTGTGGGTTTATATGTTGAAAGAACAAAGATATATACATCATAATTGAAAACATTTTGTGGACATTTGTGAATTTGCCTACATGTCAATATAACATTTAATCTTTTGTCTATATGTTGCCTGACTTTCTATCAGGAAAATTAATGAAAGGAAGTTGTATCCCCTTACTCTTGATCTTCAGAAGGTCCATCAACATTAAACTCTTTTATTCTCATAACCAAGCCAGCCCCAAGAGATAACAGTACATGAAAGGTAAAACACACAAAGCAATACTCTTTCTATGATCTGATGAGTTTTAGACCAAGGTCTCATCATAACGCAGTCACATTCTATTCCCTGACTCATTTTTTTGTAAAGTGCATAGGGGTGGGGACCGCGTTTGCATTAGCATGAGCACTCAGTGAAAATGTAAAAATACTAAATGAAAGAAAAGATGTGCTGAATAATTATTATTATTATTATTATTATTATTATTATCTTTTTTTGCTCTACTGATAAATAGGCATGTATAGAGATTTTATTCAAACACATAACAAGTTAAAGGGACACTGGAGGCAGCCAGACCACTTCTGCCCATTGGAGTGGTCTGGGTGCCTACTCCCACTACTCTTAACCCTGCAAGTGTAATTATTGCAGTTTTTATAAACTGCAATAATTACCTTGCAGGGTTAAGTCCTCCTCTAGTGGCTGTCTATCAGACAACCACTAGAGGGACTTCCGGCATCTTAGAACACAAAGTTTTTTTTTAACGACGCTGGACGTCCTCACGCTATGCATGAGGACCTCCAGCGTTGCCAGAATCCGCAGCGCATGCTCATTAGGTCTCCCTCTCTGGCTGACGTCAGCAGGGGAGGAGCGTGGGCGCAGCCTGACCCGGCGCCAAGGGACATCTGCCCTGGATTCAGGTAAGTCACTGAAGGGGTTTAAACATCTTCAGCAACATGGGATGGGGGGTGGCAGGGAGGGGGCACTGCAGCAGCCTGCAGTGCCAGAAAAATGGTTATGTTTTCCTGGCACTGGACAGTTCCTTTAACTCAAACTCACACAGAATTGTGCAGAAAAAGCTTAGCAGAGCATACAAAGAGTATGTGTAATTTTCCGCTGCATCTGACACGGCTATGATAAAGTTATAGGGTTCTAAATCTTGGGTCATTCTAGTCTGACTTCACCTTGACTTACAGTGAGTACAGTGTTTTTTATATTGGGTCCACTAATCTAGGACACAGAAGGTCATAATACTGCAATATCACATAGTAAAGGTTTGGTTTAGTGTGTTAGTGTTTGGGCTGAAGTTAGTGTTAGGACTTAGATTAGTGTGTTGGAGTTTATGAGTTTTGCAGCTGCATATATAGTTGTCATCTGAGAGACTAACTCCCACTAATCTCAGGCAGACTGGGACATCCATGACCTGGCATTGCCCTTTGATTAGGAATTAGTGGCAGTAAAAATATGCATTATGGCGAACAGTGTGCAAATGATATCTCCCACATTGCCGAATGCGATTTGAAAATGATTTACCCATTGACGTGACGACCAGATCATATAATACACATATATTACTATAAAAATATTTTATATAGCGTGCTGTAGCATCATCAATGATATCAATCTTGTCTCATCATAGTCCATTTACAGCTCTCAGAGCATGTTATTGACCTGGTCCAGGTTTGGCCTACGGACAGTTATTACTGAGTCACCAGAGATGAGTTAATATTAAACCTTGTATGAGGTGATAATACTTGGAACATGCGCTGGTCTAAGCTGTGGTTTGTAAACATTTTAAAGTTAGTTTCAGCGAAACACAGTAACAAACTCTCTTTGTATCCTAAATATCCTAAATAAATAGCCAAACTGGATATTGGAGAATTGTTCCAGTTGTGCTACTCTGGCCTTACTTTTCAAATTCACTTTAAATTCCTCACAATTCTCATGTCAGTAAATAACCCTGTAACTCTTGCTGAATCATAAGTGCCAAATCAGTGTCCAATTAAAACAGAAATCCCAAAATAGCTAAAACTACAAAACCAAAATAGGTTATAGGTGAATGATCTACATATCCCTAAATCCTGTAATTGCCTCTAGAAAGAGCTGATTACTTTTTTTTTTTTTTTCTCATCTTAAAAAACATACCACAGCTGAGACAATTTTGGCAGATGCACGTATTAATTCCTGTACACAGAACGAAGCACACTGTTTAGAAAGCCAAAGTTTTTGGCCAAAACCAGGCTGGACAGAAAAATAAAAATAAACCTTTGTTTTCTGTAATGTTGCACAATAAACATTAGATTTAAAAAAACAAAACAAAAAGGAGTTGATGAAAAATCATAAAACACGCAAAATATTAATAAAAAAACCCAGCTTTTACAACATCCTTTCTAAGCTGCAAAATTACCTCCCAGAGGGGACAGAAATTGCCATAAAGAGCTCAAATTCTACGGAGTTTGCTGGAGTTGACATGCATCAGCACAGATAGGCTTCACGCTTGCTTTGGAATTGTCCGAACATAGCCAAAACCCACTCCTTGTATGGCTTGGATCCAAATGTTTCTTAGAAAACAGAAACAAAATTGCTTACTTAACAATCATATTGGATTCTCTAAAATGGATATTCATGGATATGCTATAGCGAATTGAATTAAAATAAATGGCTTTTTTTTGTGTGTTTTGTTGGGCAAATTTCACTATTGTCCATTTATCTATGAATACAATTAGTTGTAATCAAGATTGTGGTGATCTACCTATTTAATCAAAGCCAGTTTGTTGTGGGACCTTCTCCCTTTCCCTCCCAATGCGGAATGCGTGGTATTGCACCCCCTCTTCCCCTCCATTTATTATGTATTATTGCACCTCACCACTTCATTTGCCTCCATCCTAGGGTGGAGAGGTAAGATTGAATATAACTACTCCTTGCACAACATCTTATGTGCTGTGAAATTTGGATACAAATACAAATCTTTTATTCCAAACATTATACTGCCCCCTGGTTCCCCCCTTCCTTGCAACCAGGTCCAGACTGGCCATCAGGCATACCAGGCAAATGCCCGGTGGACCGCGATGGCCATGGGCCGAGGCTAGAGGTCTCTCACCACTAGGACCACCAAGGATATAAAGTTTGTTTTTTATTAATACATATTTATTTATAAAATACATATTTAATATATTTAAATTGATCTGTCTTCCCCCACCCCCCCACACAATCCCTCCAAACATATTCACACACAGCATCCTCACAGCCAATGGCGTACACACAATCCATGGGGCCCCGGCGCGAAAATTGATCCATGGACCCCTCCCCCCCCCGCTTACTCGGCGTGGGCCGGGGCCCCAACACATGGCGGCAGATAAACTGCTATGTTTCACTGAGGGTTAATTCAGCCTCTAGTAGCTTTCTCACTGACAGGCGCTTCCGCGATTCTCACTGTGAAAATCACAGTGAGAAGACGCTGGACGTTCATAGGAAAGCATTGAGTAATGCTTTCCTATGGGTGGTTTGAATGCGCGGGCGGCTATTGCCGCGCATTCACATTCGGAGCTGAGAGACGGATCGGGGAGGAGAGATCCCCAGCGCCAAGGGAGCCCGGCGCTGGAGAAAGGTTAAGTGCTGAAGGGGTTTTAACCGCACACACACACTAGCTAACAGACGCATACACACTAGCTAACAGACACACACATTTACTGACAGACACACACTCAGTGACAGACATACATACACACTCACTGACAGACAGACACACTCACTCACAAAACTTACACTCTCACTGACAAACACACACTCACTAACAGACACCAAACAGACTCACTAACAGACACATACTAACAGAGACACACAAACTAACACACTCAGTAACAGACACACACAGTAACACACTCACTGACACACACACTAATACACACACACTGACCCTCACTAGCAGACACACACTCAATAACAAACACACACAACTAACACACACACAAAAACTAACACACTCACTGACACTCACTAGGAGACACACACTCAATAACAGACACACACAAACACACAACTAACACACTCACATTTTTTTATTTAATCCCCCAGCCTCCCTACCTTTGGGAGTGCTGAGGGGATTCCTGCTTTCCCTGGGGTCCAGTGGGGCTGCCCGGCGGCTGGTCCTGCAGGTGGCAAGGGAGCACTGATCCTCCTGTTCAGCTGCCTCGCGCGCTGCTTACTGATGCCAGAGCCGGAGTGACATCATATTCCAGCTCCGGCATCACTGCGGTGTGCTTGAGGGAACTGAACAGAGAGCACTCAGGGGAATATGCTCCCTCGCTGCCAGCCTCGGGGGGCCCTGAGGTGGCCAGCTCCTGGGCCCCCCAGGAGAAGAGACTGGCAAACCGGCGTACATACGGGCCCCCTGGTGGGCCGTCTCCGGTCGCAGCTGCTAACCCCTGCGACCATGGTATGTACGCTAGTGCTCTCAGCACCCTCACACACACTCACAGCACCCTCACACACACAGTACCCTCACACTCACAGCACCGTCACACACAGCATCCTCATACTCACAGCACCCTCACACACTCACAACACCCTCACACACACTCCCAGCACCCTCTCACACACAGCCCCCCTCACACACACACACACAGCAACCTCACACTCACAGCCCCTCTTACACACACACACAGCACCCTCACACTTACAGCACCATTAGACACACATTTAAAGCACCCTCACAAACACAACACCCTCACACATAAAGCAGCCTCACAAACACAACACCCTCACACATACTCACAACACCCTCACACACATTCACAGCACCCTCTCACACACAGCCCCCCTTACACACACACTCACAGCGCCCTCACAATCACAGCACCCTCACACACTTACAACACCGTAAGACACGCTCACAGCACCATGTCTCTCACACACACAGCACCTTCACACACACACAATACCCTCACACACACAGCACACTCACAAACAGCACCCACACACATCACCCTCACACCCCCTCTTACACACACACACACACTCACAGCAACATCACACTCACAGCACCCTCTCACACACACAGGGCTCTCACAGCACCCTCACACACACACAGCACCCTCACGCACACAGCACCTTCACACACACACACACACACACCTCAAACTCACACACACAGCCCCTTTACACTCACAGAACACACACACACAAACAGCACCCTCACATACACAGCACCCTCACACACACACTGCACCCTCACACACACAGCACCCTCAGACATACTCACAACACCCTTACACTCACATCATTCACACACACATACACAGCACCCTCACACACACACACAGCACCCCCCACACACAGAACCCACACACACTCACAGCACCCTCACACACACAGCATCCTCACACTCACAGCACCCCCTCACACACACAGCACCCTCACACTCACAGCCCCTCTTACACACACACAGCACCCTCACACACACACACAGCACCCTCACGCACGCACACACAGCACCCTCACAGTCACAGCACCCTCACACACACACCCAGCACCCTCATACTCATAGCACCCTCACACACACACAGTGCCCTCACAATCACAGTGCCCTCACACACCCTCAGACACACTCACAGCACCCTCTCTCACACACACATCACCCTCACACTGACAGCCCCTCTTACACACACACACACACTCACAGCACCTTCACTCACCTTCACAGCAACATCACATACACAGCACCCTCACACACACACACACACACACTGCACCCTCACACACAGCACCCTCAGACATACTCACAACACCTTTTCACTCACAGCATTCACACCCACATACACAGCACCCTAACACACACACACACAGCACCCTCAAACACACTCACAGCACCTCCACACACACTCACAGCATCCTCACACTCACAGCACCCACACACCCACACACATCACCCTCACATTCACAGCTCCTCTTACACACACACACACTCACAGCACCCTCACACACACACAGCACCCTCACACACCTCAAACTCACACACACAGCCCCTTTACACTCACAGAACACACACAAACAGCACCCTCACATACACAGCACCCTCACACACACACACACACACTGCACCCTCACACACACAGCACCCTCAGACATACAACACCCTTACACTCACAGCATTCACACACAAATACACAGCTCCCTCACACACACACAGCACCCCTCACACACACACACAGCACCCTCACAAACACTCACAGCACCTCCACACACACTCACAGCACCCTCACACACACAGCATCCTCACACTCACAGCACCTCCTCACACACACACACAGCACCCCTCACACTAACAGCACCCTCACACACACACCCAGCACCCTCATACTCACAGCACCATCAGACACACAGCACCCTCACACACACAGCACCCTCAGACATACACACACACAGCACCCTCACAATCACAGCACCCTCACACATACTCACAACACCATCAGACTTACTCACAGCACCCTCTTTCACACACACACACAGCACCCTCACACACACAGCACCCTCACAAACACTCACAGCACCCTCACACACATCACCCTCACACACATCACACTCACAGCCCATCTTACACACACACACACACACACACACTCACAGCACCCTCACACACCTTCACAGCAACATCACACTCACAGCACCCTCACACACACACAGTACTCTCACAGCACCCTCACACACACAAAACACACACACACACAGCACCCTCACACTCACAGCACCTTCACACACACACACACCTCAAACACACACACATCCCCTTTACACTCACAGAACACACACACACAAACAGCACCCTCACATACACAGCACCCTCACACAGACATACTCACAACAACCTTACACTCACAGCATTCACACACACACACACAGCTTCCTCACACTCACAGCACCTCCACACACACACAACATCCTCACACTCACAGCACCCTCACACAGACACAACACACTAACAGATCCCTCACACACACAGCTCCCTTTACACTCACATAACTCACACACACAGCTCCCTTTACACTCACAGAACTCATACACAGCACCCTCACAACAGGCCCAGACTCACCATTGGGCATACTGGGAAAATGAGGGTGGGCCGCGATGGCCGTGGACCGAGGCCTGCAGGGGAGATCACAGGATTTTTGTCCTCTGGCATCCCACTTATGGAGACACCAGAGACAAGTTACAGTGCAAGCATGTTATTAAATTTGCTTGTGCTGCGCAGAAAAAATACAGGGCCTTTTTTTTCAGCAGGGCTCTGCGCATTGAACCAACATGCTCACTTTGAGAGGGGGCGTGCTTGTCATTAGTGATGACAAAACACACCCTCTCTTGCCCCGCCCCCTTCTCAGGGGGCCGCTGTGATTGAAAAGTGCCCAGGCCGAATTTGTTTCCCAGTCCAGCCCTGCTTGCGACCCTTCTCTCCAGTACATAAAAGGTTAAAAAAAAAACTTAATTTATCCACACAATTCCAGCGCAGATGTCCCTCAGGGCTGGTCACTCCAACTTCTTTGCATCATTCAGCGGGGGTACAGGGGTGCTACATAAGGATAAACTACACAACCACAGAAAAGGAAGAAAGTACCTGTGTACTGGCTCTAACAACCCAAGCAACACAATTCCCTTTTCACCTTTTAGAGTGTAAGCTTTGCTGGCAAGTTGACAGTTGAATATGTTTTATAAAAAACGAACATATAAAGGTTGATAGATATTAAAGTGCACACAGCAAAATTATAAATATTAGGTAATAGTTTTATATGTACATTGCAACAAAAAATATAAAAAAGGAATAATAGGTTAACCTGTAATGCTATTATAACGAACTATTAAATCACTATAATTGTCAACTCGTATGGCTCAGAGACAAACAGACACTGGCTCTCCATGCCGGTCACCACCTGTGCGAAGTTCTTGTATGGAGCTTCTGTTATCCTTGTGAGCTAAGCCCTGCTGTGCAGAGCTGCTCATTGGCTGAGAGCATCAGATGACCACTCTCGCCCAATCGGCTAAACCCAGCTAGTTAGCTCAGAGGACGAGGAGGAGACTGAGACCTAGCGGACCAGTTGTCAAACTGTGTCAACAGTTTGGCCACTGACATTGGGTGTCACCAGGGCACTCCTAGCACCATATATTCTATAGTATTCTGTGGTAGTTATGGAGATTGAGATTTCCTTAAAAATTGGTTCTAATAAACTGTGGTCTTGGGATCATTTATTGACGTCCTCACCGTGAATAAAGTCCATATGGAACTTATACAGAAATCTATATATGTTTGTTTATATTGAAGTAATTTCATTGGTGCTATCCAAAGCTGGATTTTAGGGTGGTAGGGAGGTTTCCGAGGAATATTTATGTATGATGCATTATCGAGGCAGGTAACATCTTACTATTATTTCTCTGAGAAACCTTCTGCAATATCTCCTATGATATCTCATATCATTTCTTATGACGACACTTTTCTTTCTCTGCAGGCGTGACATTTTCCGACACTACTAGCCACACGGAAGCTTGTAAGCCATGCACAGAATGCACTGGAAGCAGACGTATGATAGCTCCATGTGTGGAGACAGATGACGCTCTATGCGCCTGTGCCTATGGATCTTTCGAGGAGGACCACAAATGCAAGCAATGTAAGACTTGCCCAAAGGGCAAGGGTATGATAATGTCCTGCACAATGACCCAAGACACTCTTTGTGAGACGTGCCCGGAATTCACCTACTCAGACGTTGACAGCAGCATGGATCCCTGCCTACCATGCACGATCTGTGAAGACGATGAGATAACGTTGGAGGAATGCACTCCCACGTCTGATACAGTCTGTTACAGTAAGTTTGGATACCAGATTTCCACCACTGTCCACGATGAATAGTTCTATAAAAGCATGGTGGATGGTTTTTCTTTATAGTTTGGTCTGACATTCACAATATTATTTCATTCACATACTGATACTTTTTTTAGGTTGCCGGTTAACAGAAAGAGGAATATGTTAAATTCCATAATTTTCTGTAATTAAAACTGAATTAGCCATAAAATTCAGGTAGCACAGCTGAAAAAGTTAATTTTTTTGTAGATTTTATATTGAAGAAACTTTCCTTATAGCTTCATATTTTACTCAACTGCACTTGTTTCAGTTAAAATACCATTGACTTTGGAAATGTAAAATAGCTTAAATTATCATTTGGCTAAGTGATAAGAAGTCAACTTGCAGTAAGTTGAACAACTTCGTACATTTTGTTTAGTACATATTGTCCACATTTTCCAGTTTAAACTAGAATACGAATCATTTGAACTGGAACATTTAAATCTGTGTTAAAAAAGCTAAATGTGTACAAAACATAATACTTGATTTGACTCAATTTTCTTGCATCAACTAAAAGATTCATTGAAAATTAATAAAAAGTTAACAATGTCATAAATATATATATATAAAGCCAAGTTTCAGGATTGTTCACTAAAGTGAGAATTCAAAGTGAATTTAAAATGTACGGTCAAATTAGCTGAATTGGAAAAACTCTTTAAGTCAGCCATGCTATTAATTTGGCTCATCTGAACGTAACTTTGAAATTCACTTTAAATTCTCACTTCAGTGAATAATCCTGTGTGTCTTTCCTAATATCCCTCATATGCGGAGAATGAGCAGCTTGTGCAGAGATCAGGAAGTAGCTGAGATCGTTCAGCCAAACATTGTGCCTCTGCTGTTTTAAATGGGAGAGCTGTGGCTTTGCCTTAAATCTCTGATGTATGCATGGAGGATAGGTAGGTAGGTATTGGGTGGAAGGTTCCTGCAAAGCAGGATTCTCCAAACTCTGGCCCACCGGATGTTGCTGAACTACAATCCCTCTTCTTCTTTTAATGAAATAGATAGCCAGAGAATCTAGGGAGTTGTAGTTCATCGACATCTGGAGGGCAAGATGCAGAGAACTCTGCTCTAAAAGAATGTTCTTTGGAATGACAAAATCGTCGGAAGGAATTCTCTCCCTGAAGATGTTGATGAATTTTTTGTATTATTATTTTTTTAAAGCAGGACGTTCCAGGGTATTAGTTAATATGAAAGATATGAACAGTGTGTTGATCCAAGACGAAATCCAATTGTCCATTTAGGGTCAAGAAGGGATTTGCTCCCTTTTTGCAGAGAAATTGAGAGAGTTCTCCAATGTGTTTTTTCAGCTGCTTTTGGATCAACAGCGGAGATGAGAAAGGTTGAACTTGATGGATTTGAGTCTTTTTTCGACACATGTAACTATGTAAGAGGGATCAGTAGAAACACAAAGAAGGAAGCAAATTTTAGATCCAAGAGCAGCCACAAGTAAGGTCGAAAACCTATAGTCTTGTAAATTGGAGTTTTCAATAAATTTAAAGGAAAACTCTCACCCTCATAACAACGTAAGCTAATTCAAGTATCTGGGTGTCTTGTACCTTCAGGGTTTACACCATTCCTCGCTACACTGCCGTATGAGAAAGGATTAGCCTGGCGGCCATTGATAGGTTGGCAACATCACGTGAAATTCTCAAACAATCAAAGGGAGTCCACTGAGAGAAATAGTATGTTTGACAAATTACTAAAGCTATAAAGCAGCCTGGTAGTAGTGCCCCAGTGCCGTTCCACAATAATATTTCACAATGGTTTGCCCTCTCACTGGAGTCCCCATTGGGCGCCACATCTCCTTGTCAGCAAGCTAGCAACATCCAGCCTCTGAGGAGCTGTAGCAGCAAAGGGTTTGAACTCAGTATGTGCGGCATTTCATACCGCAAGCCTCCGGGCACCATAACCACTTCAAATCATTGAAGTGGTGATGATGCATAGAGAAACCCTTTCAGCTGCTATGGAGACGGGAGTGTTCTTTTCAAAAAAGTTATTTTGTAAGGAGCTACTAACTTGGGTATTTAACTTCTGGTAAGAATTATTAAAGGGGTACTATAGTCACTAGTGCAACTACATGTATTCCTGACACTATAGTGTTAACACCACCATCTAGCCCTCCTGGGCCCCTCATGCCTCCATAAATATAGTAAATATCTTACTGTATTCAAGCCAGAAGCTGTAAATCTGCATGCTGTAGACTCAGGAAAAACAAGCAGTCTGTTGACATGTGATAGCCTGATCCAATCACAATGCTTCCCCATAGGATTGGCTGAGACTAACAAAGAGGCAGATCAGGGGCAGAGACAGCATGATTCAAACACAGCTCTGGCCAATCAGCATCTCCTCATAGAGATGAATGGAATCAATGAATCTCTATGAGGAAAGTTCAGTGTCTGCATGCAGAGGGAGGAGACACAGTGCTTCCCTGTGCTCTGCTGACAGCCGATCTGAGTGGATTGAGGAGTTTTATGCCTCAGTCAACTCGGAAGTCCCTCTGGTGGCATTCTGAGTGACTGCAACTGGAGGTGTTCCTTGCTTTCAATGTAAACACTGTATTTTCTCAGAAAATACAGTGTTTACATGAGAGAGGCTGCAGGGAGCTATAGTTCTCACCTGAACAACCTCATTAGGCTGAAGTTGTTCAGGTGACTATAGTGTCTCTTTAATTGTAAGTAGAAAACATATTTGGTATCGTAGCTATGGGTGATCTAAATTTTCGGTCATACTTAGTCTTTCTCTAAGACCAAGGGTCATAGAGGTCATTTATCCAATGGGTAGTAATTATTTGGGCAAAATGCAGACTTATTTAATGCTCATGTTTATGCCGTCTTTAATGAAATTAAGTCCTGGAACATCCATAATTTGATGGTCAGTCATTTGGCCGAGAGAAGGCAACCAATGAAAATCTGATATTAAATGGTAGAAGTAACTGTCTACAATATGGCTCATATTTAATCGTGTGGGGCCAGCTAATGGGTACAAGAGGAAATTCTATAAATTGTTGTTTTTGTTAAAAAAATAAATTAATAAGTAATAAGTTACAGAATGCACTTGATACAAAACGCATTATAGAAAATTTACGGTAGCTCGAGCACATATTAAAATTGCTCTTAAGTTATGGAAAACTCGTTAATTCTCCAGAAATCTTGGCTTAACATTTATAGCTTTTGGTCGAATTCCTCTTCTTAAAATTGCCAAGAAATACGGACGGAAAACACAGAGGATTCTGCTTTTTCCGAACAAATGCTTTGTGTCCCAAAATAAAAATGAAGGGACAGATTGTTGGCAAGAGTATAGCTTGATAAAGTGTTCCTATATAATCAAAGGAATGCCAGAAATACCTGGATTTAAATATATGCAGAGGTTATACAGAGTTTGTATAGTCTTAGAAAGAAATATTTGTCATAAGTGGTAGGTTAGTGATTACTGAGGAGCAATAGACATTATAGGGAGAAGTTAAATTGAGCAATAGGTGTAATTATATGGAGAGGTTATATGGAGTAATAGGAGGCATTATAGGGAGAGGTTATATGGAGTAATAGGAGGAGTTATAGAGAGAGGTTATATGGAGTAATAGGATGAGTTACAGAGAGAAGTTATATGGAGTAATAGGAGGAGTTATATGGAGAGGTTATATGGAGTAATAGGAGGAGTTATAGGGAGAGGTTATATGGAGTAATAGGAGGCATTATAGGGAGAGGTTATATGGAGTAATCGGAGGAGTTATAGAGAGAGGTTATATGGAGTAATAGGATGAGTTACAGAGAGAAGTTATATGGAGTAATAGGAGGAATTATATGGAGAGGTTATATGGAGTAATAGGAGGAGTTATAGGGAGAGGTTATATGGAGTAATAGGAGGAGTTATAGGGAGAGGTTATATGGAGTAATAGGAGGAGTTATAGAGAGGTTATATGGAATAATAGGAGGGGTTATAGAGAGAGGTTATATGGAGTAATAGGAGGAGTTATAAGGAGAGGTTATATGGAGTAATAGGAGGAGGTATAGAGAGAGGTTATATGGAGTAATAGGAGGAGTTATAGAGAGAGGATATATGGAGTAATAGGAGGAGTTATAGAGAGAGGTTATATGGAGTAAAAGGAGGAGTTATAGGGAGAGGTTATATGGAGTCATAGGAGGAGTTATAGGGAGAGGTTATATGGAGTAATAGGGGGAGTTAAAGAGAGAAGTTATATGGAATAATAGGAGGAATTATAGGGAGAGGTTATATGGAGTAATAGGAGGAGTTATAGGGAGAGGTTATATGGAGTAATAGGAGGAGTTATAGGGAGAGGTTATTTGGGATAATAGGAGTTCTATGGAGAGGTTATATGGAGTAATTAGATAAGTAATAGAGGTAATACATGTTGTTATATGGAGATATATAGAATAACTGGTATAGACATATTATATGTCATAATATAAAGTAGTTGAATTACTGTACATTTTAACAAAAATAGGAAACATTCTGTACAGTATTTTACTAAATTAATAAACATATGTTGTACAAAGGCTTTCACAGAAATTCTTATTTACACAGCAATTCACACCCACTCACCACCGCGACTGATCACAATCCGCCACACTGATTCACTACCCTTTGGACCCAGTGTTTTGGTGTGACTCACTGCTCGCAGGACTTACAGTGACCTTATTGTACAGCCCGGCTCTCAAACAGGAAACAGCCCGTGGCATTACGTGCCACAACAGGGGCCACACTGTCACAGCCATGTCCATTCATAAGATCTAAAAGGCAGAGGGTGAGCAAATGAATAGTCTGCAACTAAATTGGGGAGAAGCTTGGAATTTTCAGAGAAAGATTTATGGGGATGACAGTCTTATGCTATATTCTGCTACAGCTAAACTCTATGAATTAGAGGAATATTTAACATATTTGCATCCATTAAGTACAATAGACTGACAGAGGTATTCAATAATTTGTCATTTGTTAAGAATTTAAAGTTAATATCCAACTTAAGGCCATAATAACTGAGTTGGAATGGGTATGTTTTCAGGTTAGCTAATTTAGACTGAAAATTATAATTCGTACATTTATTCACTAAAGTGAGAATTCAGAGTGAATTTCAAATTTAAGGTTAAAATAATCGAACTGGAAAATTTATCTTACTCGGCTATGTTTTGAGTTCTACTACTCGGGCCTTAAATTTAAAATTCACTTTGACGTCTCAGTGTAGTAAATAATATCCATTTTTTGCTGCACTCACCGTAAATCCACATATCTTAAAATAAACCTTCTTAATACAACTTAATATATTGGCCCAGTTGTATTAAGAAGGTTTATTTTAAGATATATGGATTTACGGTGAATTGAAAATAAAAAGTGTAAAATATTGCCTAATTGCAAATATTGATGAGTTGGAGAATTTTTCAGCCTTAGCTGGTTTGATTTAAAATTGTGAGAATATTTCAAGTGACAGTAAATTGATAGTTCGTGAATATACCTCTTATTTTAATATATCATTGGGCTTGTTATACAGTGGGTGGGGCCATGTACTATGTACCTAGGTGTATATGAGCTACGAATAGCTACTGAGGTCCATTCTTCTATACTCACAGATTAAAGGACCACTATAGGCACCCAGACCACTTCAGCTTAATGAAGTGGTGTGGGTGCCAGGTCCAGCTAGGTTTAACTCTTTTTGCAGTAAACATAGCAGTTTCAGAAAAACTGCTATGTTTACCTATGGGTTAATCCAGCCTCTAGTGGCTGTCTCACTGACAGCCGCTAGAGGCGCTTCCGCGCTTCTCACTGTGATTTTCACAGTGAGAAGACGCCAGTGTCCATAGGAAAGCATTAGGAATGCTTTCCTATGAGATTAGCTGAATGAGCACGCGGCCGATGACGGAAGAAGAGGGAGGAGAGTCCCAGCACAGAGGGAGCCGAGCACTGGAAAAAAGGTAAGGGATTAACCCCTTCCTTCCCCTTTAGCGCCACGGAAGTGGGACCCATAGGGTCACTATATTGGTCCTTTAAGTGCAATGCGACAGTCTGTTCAGGGCAGGGCCTGTTTGGTGGACAGTCTGTTCAGGGCACGGCCTGTTTGGTGGACAGTCTGTTCAAGGCAGGGCCTGTTTGGTGGACAGTCTGTTCAGACAGGGCCTGTGGAAAGTCTGTTCTAAAAACATTCCTTGGAGCATGTTAGCTATGCCAAAAAGCAGCAAAAAACTAGACCGTTTGTCATTAGACATTGTTAGCTCAAACTTCGTCTTCATGGTATTAAAGGGACACGGAAAGCATTGTAATTGCTTTATCTCATTTAAGTGGTTAGAGTGTCTGGAGTCCCCTGGCACCATTCTTCCATTTAGCGCTAAGCTGTTTTTAAAGGGAAAACTGTTGTGTCCTCTGGCCCTCCCCTCCCTTGTGCTCCCAAATAAAGGGTTAAAAAACTTTCCTTCGGCGCTGGGTCCGGCTCCTGCTCCGCCAACTCCAGTAGATCGGGGGGACCTAATTCACACGCATGCCGCGCACACGTTAGACCTCAATGCTTTCCTATATGGATTTTGAACATGCTCGACGTCCTCATGCAAAGCAAGCACGATGGACGTACTCAGGAAACGTTTCTACTGGCTGTGTGGTAGACAGCCACTAGAGGCAGTCTTAACCTTTTAATGTAAACATTGCAGTTCCTCAAAAACTGCAAATTGTACATTGCAGGATTAAGAGAACAGGGCCAGTGCACCCAGACCACTTCAATGTCCCTTTTTATGTTTTAATGTTAAAGAAGATTCCTCGGAAGCACATCCCCTCTGTGCTGCTTGGATTAATTAGGAAGCATTAACCTTAGCAGCATGGGTTGTGTGATAAAGTGAAGGCAGATAGGCCTTTTAACCCCAGGGGGAGTATGTGTAGTTTGTGTGTGTTACACAAAGCTCTGTTTAGTTATGGGCCCCTGGGGTGGAGCATTTGGAGAGAAGGGTGGGCCAGTGCTCCACTCCACAGTTTAGTGGTTTTCTGGGGAGACATAGATCCAGGCCAGGGTTTTTTGGACCGTCTCCAACCCACTGCTCAGCTGCAGTTAATGAGCTGTTGCAATTGGAATAAACTCCTCCCTGCTAGGCAGGTAAAGGAGAGGGATTGCTGGCTTCCTCCCAGGAAGCAGGTAGGAGAGAGAGGCTGTTCTCTCCAGATAGTCAAGGAGACTGTGCACTTGGAGTGCAGAAAGGAAGCAGTCAGGGCAAGACTGGCTTGGAGCACTGGGAGTGCAGAAAGGAAAGCAGTCAGGGCAAGGCTGGCTTGGAGCACTGGGAGTGCAGAAAGCAAAGCAGTCAGGGCAAGGCTGGCTTGGAGCACTGGGAGTGCAGGAAAGGAGCGCAACAGGCTAGCCAGCAGAGTGTTGCTAACTAATAAGGTTGGTGCCATTGTTTTGTTTAGTTTAACCCTGAGAGATAGGGAACCTAACGTCAGTTAGTGCTCAGACGAGCTAGGTTTTTGTTTATAGGGTTTTCTGTTACATTTGTTTTCATTTACTGATGTATCCTGTGTGAACTTACAAATAAAGTGCCTGGAGTATTTGCAATTACAAGGACTGTGCATGTTTTTGCCCTAGAGGACCGTGCTACCTGCAAACAAGGATCACAGTTGTCTATCACTGCAACCCATCGCAGTTATAAATATTTATGGCTAGAAAGAAGCAAGTAATCTCTGCCTTAGCCATACCTCCATTAGGGACCAGGCTGTAAAGAAGCTCTGTAACTTTCGGTTTCTTTGCATAGCTTGCAAAGACCCCCAAAGGTGATACAGCGGCCCGGTGGAGATGCTTATGGAAGCGATATACCTGCCTGAAGCTTTCAATCCTTCTGGGCGGCTGTCTTCAGCTCTTGATTGTTCAGGGCCAGAAGTCTTGTCACTGTTGTACTTTCGCTCATGCATGAGGTTACAACACAGAGGTCTATAGACAAGATCATAAACCCTTCTAAGATCATTTTATTAACAGCCGTAGCTAGAGACAATTGCAGGGAATCAACGAAACTCGATGATGGAAGTTTTGTCATCATCTGTCTTACCCGTCAGTCAAAGTAATACCTGCCTTCATTTATTATATCTTTATTATATCTTTTTATTAATTGAATCATACTTTTAATGGAATTCCCACAAAATCAATATTAGTACAACGTAGCAATTTTATATTTCTGAAATACTCAGAAGTGACATCCAATGCCATCACAAATTATCGATAATAGACACATGATGACAGTATGCAGCGAGTTAATAAAAGCATGGTCAGTAATAAGATGGTTACTGATGGTTGACCTTAAGCAATATTGTTGACAGTGAGTAATTAAAGGCAAAAAAAATGCAGTTAAACGAGTTTAGGTCACTGCACTTCTAAAATAACATAGAACTTTAGCATTGTCCCGCCAAAAAGTGCTGAATTCTAAATATTTGTCTCTCGCGAGCCATCTAATAACTGTGGACCTCACTCTATACCGGCACTCATATGCACGCGAAAACAATATTTCATTGATACGTGTACAAAAGTGAAAAGTTTGGTGTGCCTCGTTTGACTTTCATTAACCATTTATTTCTGTACAGAAGCAGATGTAATTAACTCTCAATTTTTTAGAAAAAGGGTACTGAATTTGCCCGGCATCTGGTGACAAGATTTTATAAAGAAACTGTAACATACAAACTTAGAAAAGGTAGAAGAAAAAAACTGCCATTCTCGTACGAACAGTTTCAGAATCCTGAAATAATTCTTGTTTTTTTGTCTTTGTTTGTCTACGCAGACCCAAACCCACCTGCCGACTCAGTGACGCCTTTCCTGCCAGAACCAAATATGACAACACTGAGCAGTACTATTTTGAAACCCAATGCCAGCAGCACAAGCCCTGAGAATAAAGACAACGTTCACCCCAGCGGGGCACCGGAGAACCTCATCCCTGTCTACTGTTCCATCCTCGCAGCGGTCATCGTAGGACTAGTGGCATTTATTGTGTTCAAACGGTGAGACAATCAAGACAGGATGCTTAGTTTCTAAGCTAGTTTTGAGTTCTGTGGCTCCTGAAGAGTCACATCTGTTACATTAGAAAAATACCAGATTACTACCAACAGACAAATTTAAAAAAACATACAAAAACAGTGTGCACTCACGATAACCCCATATAACTAGCAGGACCTGTTTCAAACATGCTGCAGATGTTTTGAAGAAATAATTCCAAAGTACTCCACTTGGATATAATTCAATCAAAGTGAATTACAATATATACAACTGGAATGCTGATTAATTATCTCTTTTATTTGTCCTGAGAGTTTGGGAAAATTAACTCCATCTGCGAACACCCAAATTTGGAGGAACTACAGGTTCAGGAGTGCCTGTCACAATAAGATTCACTGATTATGCTGTAGATTATGCTGCAGTCGGGGACTGAGTGATTGTGAAAAGTGAGAGTAGACCTGCCACTGGTTTCCCCCAAAATCCCACCCATTGTCACCAGTTGGGGGCCTAATTCTAAGTTAAGGGTGTCTGGTAGGTAGACCCTCCAAAAACGAAACAAGAGAGCCACAGGTTTTCTCCATAAACAGGAAATGAAATACCCAGTTACCTGGCATGTGACATAAATATGTAATAAATGCCCAGTTGCCTAGTATGGCTGTCCCTGCATATGGTCCCCCTGGGTAGTAGCAGGAGATTCCCAGTCCACCAGCACTACTAATAAAACATTAGCAAAGTGAAAGACTTATGTTAGAGTGCACTGCAATTGTTTTTTTTTTACAACTAATGCTCAGTTAAACGTGTAGAGGAAACAGTGAGCTCAACCAAATGTGGGAATAGTTCCTCCACCAAAGCTTTGATGCCACCAATCTTCCATATTAACCACAGCAGGTGGCTCATATTAACCAAAGCATGTCACCAATCTTCCACACCAACCAAATGGTGACACCACCAATCCTTCCTTCAATCCAAAGGGAACTGGTACTACCATTCCCCAATTTCAAACTACTGAAACGGAGAGAAGAGAATGCTCTGATGGCCAGAGCAGGTTTGTCAAAGAGAGAGTAATCCAAGTGACTGGCAGGACTGTCTGAGTAATAAAGAGGATTCTGAGTGACAGACAGGAGAGTCGAAGTGATAGAGATGGGTTTGAGTGACACAGAGGAGAGTTTGAGTGGAAGAGAGGAGTTTGAATGAGTTTGAGTGAAAATTAGGAGTGTCTGAGTGAGAATGAAGAGTCTGAGTGAAGATTAGGAATGTCTAGGTGACAGGGAGGAGTTTGAGTGAAGATTAGGAATGTCTAGGTGACAGGGAGGAGTTTGAGTGAAGATTAGGAATGTCTAGGTGACAGGGAGGAGTTTGAGTGAAGATTAGGAGTGTCTGCGTGACAGAGAGGAGTTTGAGTGAAGATTAGGAATGTCTGAGTGAGAATGAGGAGTCTGAGTGAAGATTAGGAATGTCTAGGTGACAGGGAGGAGTTTGAGTGAAGATTAGGAATGTCTAGGTGACAGGGAGGAGTTTGAGTGAAGATTAGGAGTGTCTGCGTGACAGAGAGGAGTTTGAGTGAAGATTAGGAATGTCTGAGTGAGAATGAGGAGTCTGAGTGAAGATTAGGAATGTCTAGGTGACAGGGAGGAGTTTGAGTGAAGATTAGGAATGTCTAGGTGACAGGGAGGAGTTTGAGTGAAGATTAGGAGTGTCTGCGTGACAGAGAGGAGTTTGAGTGAAGATTAGGAATGTCTGAGTGAGAATGAGGAGTCTGAGTGAAGATTAGGAATGTCTGAGTGAGAATGAGGAGTCTGAATGAAGATTAGGAATGTCTAGGTGACAGGAAGGAGTTTGAGTGTTGATTAGAGGTGTTTGGGTGACATTGAGAAGTTTGAGTGTATATTTGGAGTGTCTGTGTGAGAGGGAGGAGTTTGAGTGCTAATTAGGAGTGTCTCAGTAACAGTCAGGAGTGTTTGAGTGACAGAGAACATTACAGCAACAGTGTATCTTAGATAATGAAAATCTGATTCTTTTATGAAATTCTTTGAGATGTTCCTGCAGTGTTACATTGTCCTCCACTTCTACCCACAGGTGGAATAGTTGTAAGCAGAACAAACAAGGGGGTAACAGTCACCCAGTAAACCAGACACCATCTCCTGAGGGTGAAAAACTGCACAGCGACAGCGGTATCTCGGTCAATAGTGATAGCACGGCAGAGCAGCCTGCAGGACATACTCAGGGTAAGTAGGAAACAATTATTTATTTAGGATCCTAGTCAAAACTGGAATGATCCATTTCATTTAAAAGAACACTATAGTGACAGGATACAATATAGAATGTTATATAGGAACATATAACACTATTTAGTCCACTGGCCCCCCTGTAAAAGGTGATTTTAATTACCTTTATTCCAGCGCTGCATGGGTCCGTTGCGGCTTGTTCCGCCTCCATATCTTAGATTATCAAAATTGACAATCTCAGCCAATCCAATGCTTTTCCATAGGAAAGCATTTGGAGGCTATTGCACATGCACGGCAAAACGCCACGCTGTGCCAGTTAGCATCTCTGCATCGAGATACACTGAATGAAGGCATCTCTATGAGAAATGTTCAACATCTCCATGCAGAGCACTGACCCAGGAAGCACCCCTAATGGCCATCTGAATGACTGCCACTAGACGTGTTACTAAATAAATAAAATATATATGTTCTCTGAAAAGGCAGTGTTTACATTAAAGTGCCTGCAACGACAGTCTATAGACACCAAAACAACTGCATTAAGCTGTACTTGTTTTGGTGACTTTAATGTCCCTTTTAGATTGCAGGGCTGAATTGAGCAGCCCTAGTTAAAAATAAAAAAATAATTATCTTCCTTGTGTAACGACCATAAAAGAGTTTAAATTAACAGGACATTCCATAACGCAGTATGTTTTTAGGCACTGGGTTGTGCATTGTATTGTGACAGTTAAATATGACATAACAAATAGCGTTTTGCAAATAACAAGATTTTTTATATTTGTACCAATTTGGTTATTGTATATGACTGCAGTACAGCTGCAAATATGGCCTTTCACAAATTTCCATCAAGTATATAAGGTAAAAATAGATTTTCTGATTTCCATGTATTAATAATTGAGAATTTGTAATAAATGCCAAATGCATGTTACAGTCTATGTCTTATTTTAGCCCTAAGTTACGAAGTATAATAATTACTTTGTTAAGTTAAGTGCAAACAGTCTGTTAATAAAGACCTTAATTGGACACTGAGAATTAAACCAATATGCTGAATGTCATTCTAGTCTGTTTGTAGACATTTCTCTTTTTTTATCCTTATATAAACATGGTCATGATTATCAACTGTGGTAATTAATCATAGACTAGTAGGCAAATATTCTAAAATAATAATTATTACAGTGCAATGGAACCAGATAGATATTTTTATACGCAGTGATTTTACGTAAAGTAACTATGATTTTAGTTATTTTACCTTCAGAATTCCATTGTACAGTGCTACAGAATTTATTGGCACTTTATAAATAAAGATCATAATAATAATACATTTCTCTCTTGAATGTTGCCATTAAAGTGATTCATGGTCAAGACATGCACTTATGACTGCAGTCAGAGATGGAATCTGAAGAGAAGGTCTATTGGAAATGTAACAGAGAGCAAGAATTACCTAAACACATTTATCATCTTTCCACAGGCAAAAATGACCTCCATCTCTACAATAATCTTTCACCCCACAAACAAGAAGAGGTGGAGAAACTTCTTGCTGGGTCTGTGGAGCAGACTTGGAAAAGTCTTGCTGGAGAACTGGGGTACCAAGATGAGTTGATAGACACATTCACTCAAGAGGAGTTTCCAGTGCGGGCTTTACTTAGCGATTGGTCCAACAAGGAGAGTGCTACCACTGATGCTCTATATTCTGCTCTCCGCAAAATCCAAAGGGATGATATAGCCCAGAGCTTGTACAGTGAATCCACTGCTACCTCGCCTGTGTGAGAAAGGTAGAGAAGTGGTGGGACAGAAGGAGGATGTTCGTGTTGACCTCACCGAATAGAACATCCAGCCTGATATGTGAAGGAAAAGTTTGTCCCTCTTCTCCTGAAATTCCCAGACCTCCCTTTGTACCAAGTATTAACGGGCAATCCGTCTGCACTGAAGCATTATTTTCAGTATTTTGGTGTGTTCTCTTCTTCTCTAAGGACTTCTCACGTCCAGAATATCCAGGTCTTCTCACTGTGATGGACATTAAGATGCTGAGATAAGAATCATGAACTGTGGACGTTTAGACAACCTTTCGAAGATTCAAGATTCACCCTATCAACCCTCGTTCAAACCCTTTTATATTCTGATTTTATCTTGCTTTTACAGGCCTCCACTGGTGACCCCAAAAACTTTTAAGTGTCTATAACCCTACAGGGCCTTTATAAGGGAATTTGTATACTGTGTGTAATAACAGGGTATAGTGACACTGAAATTGCCATGTTCTGAAGGTTGTGTCACACACGCACTTAGAAAGACTGTATCAAATGCAACCCAAAGATTGTGGCATCCCATAGCTTGATTTACACACATTCAACTAACGCCTCTTTTGCTGACACACAAACTTTTAACTTGTGTAGGAAACTCTAAAAGCCATGACACATACTCCAAATAGTGCCAGAAAAAAATTTCATCTGGCATTTGTTTTCACGGTGTGTCCCACCTGTAGATATAATGTCACATTCTAACTAACCAAAAATGTTTCAGCCATAACTTGTACAATTTTTAGTTAAGGTGCCACACACACTCTGAAACTGCAAGTGCAATGGACTTTATGTATCCCTTTGTCACTGCACCATGTTGAAAGGATCACACATAGATTCATGCTTAAAGCTAAAAAAAAAGGCCCAAGAAAAATGCTTTATTTATAATTTCTTTCGGCAAGGAATCCTAGTTGATTTATTTCAATTACAAAAGTAATTAATTCAAAAAAGTTCATAAATCTCTATGATTGATATTAACATGTTCTTCAGATTACCTAGATTAGTGCGGTCTAACTTTTCAATAGTATAAAGAGGCCTTCATACTATGCTATTTTGGAGGCCATTAATGATTTAATTATTGGTGTAATAAAACTAAACTTAGGAACCTTTCAGAGAGAACTTGGGCTGTACAGAAAGCCTACATCTGGCCTTAGTTCTCAACAATCTAGACCACCTCTGTATTCAATTATTTCCATACACCACTTGGCTATTTTGCATTTAATGGTAGATGTTATGAAACTCTGGGGGTTTCTTGTCACCAACAAGAAAATAATTGAACACAGAACAGTGATGTGAGGAACCTAGGACCCGATGATCTATCCCAAGTCTTGACAAATTAAACTAAGAATGTAAAAAAGAACAGTTCAGTAAAGCTTCTGCTAATATAGTAGGCTTGGGGTAGGTCCACATAAACTCATACAGCCTTTTCACATTTAGAATATTTGTTGAAGGAAAGGTGGACCTTGATGCATTTCTTTAAATGGTCTATGCACATATTTTTAACCAGTTCTAATTTTTTTTTTTTTTAAGATTTATCAGTACGTTAGAATAATATTTTGCACCTGTGTTTAGATGCTAACTCTAACTTTTACCTGGCATCAGCCAAACCTCATTGACAAACCCTCTAAAAGGCTAAACCAGACATTGGGTGTTGCTGAAATGATTATTTTTATTTTTTAAATTTTGGATCCAGACTGCTCGTATAGCTCTTGTCACTCTGATATGCCAATGGGAAGGTTTCCTCTGTGACACATGAGCTTAAACTCACTTGATTATACTTGGTGGGCAGCGCCCATAGGGTAATCTATTAAGATTTTGTCTGTTATTGGTGAATGTCTATTATCCTGTTTTAACAATTACCTGCAAATAGAAAACTAAGGAACAAGATAGCCATATGCACATTGTTACTCATGCAAAGATTGTAACGCACATGCCTAGCACATTGTCCATATTTACACCAATTTCCATCTATAGATATAGGACGGTGGTGTCTCTCTAACTGGTGTCCATCTACACCTTTGATCTACAAACAGCAGTTGTTGAAGTACAACTGCCTTGATCTTTCACCAACCATAAATAGACTGATGATGCCAATTATTGCAGACCAACATTTACAGAAATGCAAAGTGGTTAACAATAGTTTAGAACAGTGTTGTCCAATAGTTTCACGGGGTGAGATGTGGACATTTAACATCTTTAAGCATGTGATCTAGAATCCACTCGAACATTTACATATTAAGTTAAAAAATATCACCAAGGCTGCAGTTTGTCCAGAACCTTTTTTTTTGCTCATGTTTAAACTGTTGGACAAGGTTTGGACAGCCTTTATCTAGAAGTTGGAAAGGTCTAGTATACTCAACCATTAACGACCACCTGCAAAGTTCTAAGAACCTCAAAGTGTGCAGAGGCCACAAAATGGGTGGTGATTCCAACTATATTTTTTTAAGCCACATAAACCTCTTGTTCGTCTGCTGCATTGGCAATATAATGGCATCATCCACTTTAGCAGATATTTGTCTAAGAATATAAGTGATTCCTTTGACAGCCATCTTTGATACCTCCAACCTGTGAGACCCTCAGGGATTTAATGAATGGAAAAGCATGATTCATAAGCAGATAAAAGGGACCAGATACTAGTGAACTTTCCTAAATACCAGGGTAATAATCCAATCACTTCATGCTCCTATTTATCCAATCAACTTCTTCCCTGCCACGTTCGGTGTATTTTATTGGGTGACACTGTGCTCATTGGTAAGAGATCACGGCTGTCTTAGATAGATTTAAACCTGGAGTGTGGTTTATAGTCTTGGGGTTAGTAACATTGCACAATATTTTGCAGACATGGGAAAAAAAGCGAATTTGCATTTAGCCCTCTCACACATTTTACGGTTTATTAATTGTCACTGGTCACTAGAACCGCTAAATCTCTTTTCTTTAGTCCATTATTCCATTATTTCTTTGACATGTTTAAAAAAAACATAAAAACAAACTTGATTCTGTTAGGATTGGAATCTTAATAGAACTTTACTTAGGTATATATTCTGTTTGGGTCAAAAATACCAAATCCTGTATTTTTAAATGATATTAGAAGTATAAAAGTTAGTTTAAGAACTGAAGTTAGAATTTAAAACAAAAAATAATTTGAAACTTGACAACGCTGAGTTTTGGACCTCGCCATTTATGAGAATTTTGATGGATTTACTGAATAGCATGTTGGGGTGAACTGAAAACTTGATGTGTTCAATTATCTTAGAAAATGCAGATGTGTTGAATCTATGCTATTTTCAGATTAATTTAGAAAATTCAGTTCACTTTAACAAAATAAAATATAAAAAAAAAAAAAAAAAACTATTCAAAAACCGCTAAGTTAATAAACCCATGTATGTATTTGGGGAGTCAGTGTCAGTCCACCCACACAGATTTATGGACTGCCCAAAGCCTTAGCAAGCAGCCAAGATTAAAACATCTGGTGTGTTCAATTATACTCTAGGAAACACCTATGTGCCCTGCAGGCTTTAAAACATGATAAAATGATTGAACTCGTAGATACTTTCATTGGTGGAAAATGAGCAATATGGCTGCCAAATTAACATTAGTCCCCTTCAACAATGGCTAAGAATGCGTGTCTCCATCCAGAGTTATTTAACATTGCCTTTATAACAATAAAGCAGTCCAGCGGTGAATCTGGCGATATGCCTGTAGTGAATATTAATTATCCACATTCTTTTTAAAACAATGGGAATATTAGTGGTGGAAAGGTACATTATTGTGAGTGCTAGCCCCTAAAGGCCGCATTTTAGAGGTTGTCCAAACAGGGACGACCGTATTTACTATAAAGGCTGAAGGCCTTTCTCTAGCACATTTATACAATCAAATAACACAATGATGGCCATACTTTTATCAATATGATTTTTAACTGATAATTTATTTTACGATGTAGATGGTGTGCAGCCATTTTGTATAAATTGTGGCTTATCTAGCCACACCCACTTTAATTTCTTCACGCCTCCTCTCCTCAAAATAAAATTAAGATGTTTTGGAATCTCAGAATATCTACATCCCAACCCAATTTAGAAACCGTCCGCTGAAATTTAAGCATTCAAAACATGAGGCAGGGATTCTTTCACTTAAAATGCCTAGTTTCCAAATTTGTTTGGAATTAGGGAAATAGACACTTGTGGCGAAACGCAAATTGCAAACTATTGGGCCACAACTGCCACATTTGAAAAAAGTTTCTATTCAGTTATCTTGGCCTGAATTTTGAATTGGCAGTTCATCACAACATTTTCATTAGACTCTTACTGAATAAATAGTTCTGAAGACACGCCATTAAAAGCTGTGTGTGTGAATATGATTAGTCTTATTGTATTTTTTTTTTTTTTTAGCTTTCATCTCGTAAGATGGATAAAGAAAGGAACTTTGCTGTTCTTCAATATGTACGCTAGAATCCATCTAAATTTCTCCAAATGCAGTTATAAAACTGATTTGGATGTTATTATATCTCTTTTGTTGTTGAGGCAATTTTCCTCTATTGAGAATACAGCACTCAAGGGAATTTTCTAAAGTCATAACATATTGATTTACAGTGAATAGTTTTATAAGACAATATTTATCGCTTCACCTTAAAAACTCATATCTAAGACAGTTGAGAGTTAAATGTTTGAAAAATTACAATTATTTCTCAATTTCTCTTCTGATGCTAACAGATTCAAGTTTGCTATCTCCTTTGTTGCAAATGAATTCCTCATACGAACATTTAATATGTTGTCTTCACTCTAGTTTTTTTTATAAGACTCCATCTTTGTTCCATAGTTCTCTGAAACTTCCGTATAACATCTCCCATGTAACCACATCTCCAAATAACATCATATTGGTCCTTGCAATAATATGTCTCCTTCTAATGCTCCATGTATCCCATTTGCAGTGTTTCAAATAATAATTCAACTATAGACCAAAGTTTAGAATAACATGTTTCAAGTAGAAATAATGTCAGCTCCCTCCATCTTACATTAAGGTAACCATTTGTTTCACAAATTCTCTAAGTTTATTTGTCTGAAGTAATCAGTTACTTAAATTCGATAACAGATATATCTTACTATGTCTCTTATGAGGCATGACGTTACTTACGATGGCTGTTGGCAGTCATCGGCTTTCTTTTGCGAATATTGTTGCTAGTCTTGTTCCGTAATCCGTGGCTAACCAGTGCTGGGAAATGGCTCATGCCACATGATACAATTTGAAAATAGATTTTTGGAAAGTCTAATTAAAATGTGCGTGATATTTTGCCAACCCCATGGATCTCAATCCAGTCCGCCAACAAGAATTTAACAACAAAAAAAAACATTTTGTGTCAACAAAAACGGGATGTTTTTGAGTAATTATGCAGTTGAGGCCCACTAGACTAAAGACTATGCTGCTTAGTACCATGGGGGAGATTTATCAATGGGTTCTGTTCTGAAAAGTGGTATAAAGATGTAAAAGGAGGGAAATGTTGGTTTCCATGGGGATTGTGCACCATTTTTCATTTTCGGTTTATGTTCCAGATACAATCATGACTTTCTCGATAGTCACATATCTAATTTGCACAAGCAAATTTAGCGTTTTTTTGAAATAAATGATGATCTTAATTCTAATAATCGTGGAGTGGAGCAAATAAATAATAATACAAATAAAAAATAAAAAAATGCGTATCTTCTGGTAAGGAGTCAAAGGTCATCAAAGATGTATTTGATTTGACCTTTCTGAAACTCATGTCGATGATGCAAATCAACATAGCCTAAGCACTTAACCGGAAGTCACAATCACTCACCTCCGTCCAAAATGAGAGGTCAGAGGTCATGAGGCAGGCCTAGTTACGATTATTTAACAGAAAATGTGCCTTTATTTTAATATATTTGTTGTTTTTCTGTAACAGATCCTAATTGCAACTTTTTTGCTATTTTGAAAAATAATTTTTTAGAGCACTTTTTTATATGAATATATAAAAATGACTGTTTTTTTTTTCTTTTTGTTAATTTTTTTTCTTTTTTTCTTTTTTTATTAAATGTTTGGCAGTTTCCTGCGTTTGTTTTGTTAAAAACTGTAAATAGTTGTTGTTTTGTTCTGTGATAGACACAGATCCTATCGTCCCTACCCTATCCTCAACAACCTTGTGTAAAATAATTTGACTGACAAATACAAAATGAACCTTATAATGATTACAGAGAAATTGTCTTTGATCTTTTTTTTGTAGTCTGTGTTTTACTTATTCCTTGTGCCTCCTGGTGTGATTTTATTCAGTTCTTAAATCTTTGATAGCTTCTTAGTGCTATAATGAAGGTGAGAAATAAGATCTTAAACGCAGGACACTTCAATTAAAAAAACACACAGCCTGTTCTAAAAGCATTTAAGTTGGATACTTTTTCTATATTTTTTCTGCACTGAACTGTATGTCCAACAGAGAAACAGAGTTATTTATTAAGGTGTGAATTGTTGGTAATTCAAAGTGAATTTCAAATGTTAGGCCAAAATAGCCGATTTGAGGTGGGGGGCGGGGGGGGATTTACAGTCTGCTATGGCTTCAGTTTTTCTATTTTGGACCAGAGTTTGAAATTTGTGTTGAATTCATTTTGAAGTCTCGACAACCCACATTTCAGTGTATAGCACGGTTACAAGTTCTTGTATTTAGACACGAAAGGGAAAATAGTATATATAGTGCTTGGACCGGGCTACACCCCTACTCGCACCCCGAAAATTAAAGTGTACTTCTTTGTCCATTTCAAATGTTGGGAAATACGCATTTGGGACTGCCTCGGACCATCCTCGTCCTGCCTTTATTGAAAGAGTATGGGGGAGATCAACATGGGCGAAGAGTTTTGAAGATGCAGTTCAGGACCAATGTTTAGTGTATTTTTGAATACATAGTAAGATACTCTAACTGAAGGTGCTTGCTGTTATGTCCATGTTTATAAGTCATAGTGTGAGAAGCGTTCCTATTACTTTAAAATCCGAAACACTGCACAGAAATTGTTACAATAGGTCGACAATGTAATTCCATTCATATTTCCCCATGCTTTGTTAATTTTAGTGTGTAGTCTCATAAGACGAAAGAGTGAATATTCATAGGTCTAGAGGTTTTGTTTCTGTAGATCATCATCGCACATGTTTTTAAGTTTAAAACCAGTACTGGCGAAAGAGTTAAGACCATATGTTTTGTCGATGCACTAGGTATCTCTATGTGATTACACTTTTCTTTGTTTATTTTAGGTAATTAGTTTAACATTCTATGCAGTCAACGTCCGACATTCTGTTGAAACTGCAAAAAACACCCGAGTGACATTTTACTAAATTAATGAAAATTAATTGGGTAATAGGTGCATGGGGAAATTGACCTTAGCAATGTAAGCTGTGAGTTCCTTCATTTAATCGAACTGAGGACGTCTCTATGGCATTCTCATTCAACTTAACAGGGTCTACGTGCCTAGGAATGCTGGCAGCAATCAGGGTGCGTATCTACCTAATATTTGATTTAGACCATGGCACTACAATGGCAGATGGACACATAGGCTAGCACACACCTCCTCCCAACATTGGTGTTCCGAGAAACGAGACACCAATAGGATAATAGTAATACAATCGTGTCATAGACTCCTCCCAAGGGAGCATGTCTGCCACAAATACTTGCAGGACAGTCTGGCATGAATGCACGCAAAGCTGCCTGCCAGTTAAGCTGATTGCAGGACATGCATGGAGCGCTGTAATGATGCGCATGCACAAAACATTTTGTGGGCAGTCCCCATAACAGCAGTCAGATTCCTTTCTGCTTTAACAACCTGTTACTATATTAATTATATCCTTGAATAGTCTTTTTACGGGGGAAAAAAAAGCATTTTTTTCTTTTTAAAAGGACGATTTAAAAATATCTACAGAATTTAAAATAGACAACCACTTTGGGTAGAAAATTACACATCCTTATTTTTCTCACTGTAAAGAACCCTTCTCATTGCATAGCCATCATTTTTCTAGTATAAATGGGTGACCTCATTTGTTGTATATTCTTGCTAATAAACTATTTTTTAAATAGCGGTTTATATTGATCCTGCCATTCAAAACTAGTGGGCGTTTCAGCGCCAGGCCTATATTTTGTGTGCTGTGACCCTGCATATATTTGTATGATGCTATCATAGCCCCTATAAGACACCTTTTGTTTTTTTTTTAAGAAAAACAAATGCAGTTTTTTTCCTGCCTTTTTCATAACTAATGTTTTCCATCCCCCTGATTAATTTTGTAACTCACCTCTGCACTAGTTCTGCAACATCCTTGTTCAAAAGTGTTGCCCAAAATAGCCCTATATATTCAATGTGGGGTTTTACAATTTGTATATTAATAGGCAAAATTAAATTTTGATCATATGATATACTTAGTGTGCCCAGAGCCCTCATTCTCTCCTCCCTACTCGCTGACATTTATCGTTGTAGGTACAAATATCCATCTCACTATCTATCCTAGCTGTTCATATAAGGGTTAATTTAAACTTAAAATTGTATCTTCGATTCTGGGAAGAATTTATCTAATATCATTTACGAGAATGACCATACTGATTTCAAAATGTTGTTGTTAATTGTCCAAGATTTTGGTATTTGTAAATATCTGTTTCTTTTTCAAATATACGTGCGTTATATAACGTAGGGTAACGAGTAACAGCTGCTCATAACTTGTGAAAAACAATCTGTCATTGTCATCATTGTCACGCCCATATGCTAATTTCCCCCCCTCCCATCCTGCTATGAAAACGGGGTGTAAATATAACTGACGTATGAATAAAATTTGAATTGGTTATTGAACACATCTCTGCTATTCATTTCCAATTTCCAGAGCTCTGAATGAGTTGGCAAATATCCATCATCCACAAAAGGCCCGGGCTGATTTTATCCCCAACAATCATGTATCTATGAAGTTGTTCCTACCGATGTTGTGGTAGAATGTAAGCAGAGGTTGATGCTACCATTTATAGTATCTCTGCAGAGATGTAGAGGGGATGTATGGCGTTTAGAAAGAGAAATTATTTTTCTGCTGGGTCAAAACTTAAACTAGCACTGAAGCAAAATACACGTTCAGTGGGACTTTATGGAGTACATTTTTTTTTACTTTGCTTTGCAAAGCAAATGTTAGCCTATGCATACATGTTTATGGGAGAAAAACAAATTAATTCTATAATTAATTGAGCAATAAACACAAAGGAAGCATTTTGCAAAAGAGGTCCAGTTCTGGTTCATATTCCTATTAAGTGCAAACTGTGCAATCCCGCTGAATAAAAGCTTTTTATTTCATTATTTTCCCTGCATTAAATTAAAGTTCTAATTTTCTGACCACGGCCGCTCTGTTATTTGTCTCATGATTAATGCTATAACTACATTTATTCATCCTAAGTTTACAGCACCCCGAGAACAACCCTTCCACCAAACCAATTACGAGGATTGTGTGTGGAATCTAATATATAACAAGGGTACGAGGCCTAGTGCTGTATCCATGGTAACCTAAGCCAGGCCTAGCAAAGTAATCAGCGCCCTTTGTATGTAGCCACGGCAACAAGAGAATGAGTCCCGCTGCTTAGTGAGGCTGGGAGACCACTTAGGAACATTGCATGCTCTCTGTTTCAGTGTCATGTACTTTAAAATCGCAGCCGCCACCTGCAGTGATTGGCTTTATATATTTTTTTTATTTTTTGTTTTCAACAGCTCAGCATGCGCTGAACTGATGCCAGTATTTTTTGCATTAACAGGGTTACATTTGGCCTTAAAATACACCATAGATGGCTTATACACTTCAATAAGTTTATTATTTTGCATACACTAGTTAGCTAATCCTAAGAGACGCAGTCTTACACTTTCATTTCCAGCAAAATAAAAAATTCACAGGCCTCCTGCATTGCATGGTCGGTGTGTGCTATATATACACATCAGTATGGCTTCGCTTTATATACTGCGAGTACAAGATGTCTGGAAAATCAGATGTTACAAACTGTGCAGTCCTGTGTTACTAATTATGATCCCCTCCACATGAACCCCTTCAATACTAAAGTGAACTAGTCTGGAATTATTAACTTGGGCAATGCAGGTTCCACACATCATTCACTTAACTCTGAATGAACTAAAATCTTATTTATCAAAATTAAGGCTAAACTAGACGAGCTATGTCTAGAGCTCAGTTTCTGCAAATCAGGTATAATTACCTTAATTATGGGATGGATCTGAATTTGCTGCACTTTAGTTCTTAGTAATTAACCTTGCAGGGCACGCACTGGCATTAAAAGGTTAATGTTTAGTGCAGGTATAGGCAAGCTTCGGCACTCCAGATGTTGTGGACTACATTCCCCATAATGCTCGTACACCCATAATGCCGGCAAAGTATCATGGGAGGTGTAGTCCAAAACATCTGGAGCGCCAAAGGTTGCCTATGCCTAGTTTAGTGGCTAATATTGGTTCTTCGTTTTTTTGTTGTTGAGGAAATAGTTGAAGTATACGCCACGCAAATGAATTAAAACAATAATCTCTGTGATCAGCACTGATAGATATTAAAGCGCTTAAAAATTCTTTCTTAGGCTAAGAACAGTGAGTTTTGGGACATGCAACTATGCTTCGTGCCGCATGGTGCATCAGAACATTTTGCTAAACACCATGAGGCAAATCTAGCAGGTTTGACATTTTTAGGAATTCATAAAGTTAAGAAAAATTAGAGAGGAGGAAACAATGTATTAAACATTGGCCAAATAGAGATTAAATGGGCATACAGACTATGTATCCTATATCCAAGGGGCCTCAATAAAGAATTTGATCTTTATAACTATTTAGAAAGTTGTATTATTATTATTTGGGTAGTAATCCTCCCCTTTATTTAATATAACAGTTATTCCCTTCTCACTAAATTAAGCATATTTTACAAATCTTTTAATGATTTTCAATTATTCTTTTTTTATTTTCTGATATTATGTATCTCATTAATTTGGAAAACATTTAACCAGGTGATAATTTTATAAAAATTGTTTCCGTTTAATAAATTAAATATATTAAATATATTCTAGGTAGATGTTTAATAATTCCTTGTCATTGCTTATATTAAAAGGAAAATGTTTTGACTTAGGTGATAATCCCTTTCTATAAAAATCAATCATGTAGTATTTATTTCACATTGATTTTTTTATAGTTTATTTTTTTTAATATTGCTCTTTTTTTTAGAAAAGATATATTGTTTGAAAGGAAGGATATAAGCTAAATGGGGTCTTAGGGAGTAAAATACCAGACCCTTAAGGGGACAGGTTAAAAATAAAGGCTTTATTGTTAATGTGCTTATTAATGGATATTTCATTGTTCACTTGCTTACATTTATCCTTCTATAGTGTATTGTTAGTTGTATAAAAGTTTTATATAGGACACTTGTTGGGTGAAATAAAAATGGTGTGAGTATTTATAGGTAACAGAATATATGTTGCAGCAAATGTATTATATGAAATATAATGTCCATGTTATGGACTATTTAAGAACTGTGTATGAACATTCCAAAAGATTTGGCTCAATGAGCTCACGCAAAGCGCCACAGTTAGGAACTGGCATAGTGTATAAATTCATGCAAGAGGAGTACCTGATGATGTTAGCTTTGACAAAACCTCATACGCAAGGCGAAATGCGTCAGCTATTAAATGCTCAAGCACCACGTGACGGTGCATGCGCAGCAGCCGGAGCCCCAAAAGGACTTCGAAATCCAAGCAAATCTAATACGTTCTTGGTTAATTGGAGCAAGCAGAAAAAACAGAAATGATCCCACCAACATTGACGTAAGAGTTTTTAATACTATTATAATGTTAGTAATAAATGACATTATGCTATGCTGGTTTGATGTTTCAACTTGTGTTGTGTGTGTTGTGATAATATTACATATTTCTACTATTGCTATTTTGTATCTCTTTGTTTTTGCTGTAAAGGGAATGTCTACTTATATTGGCAATTTACTTGCATATATTTGCCCATCCACACCTGTGTTGTGTATATTGTGTTTTAAACACAGTTTTCAATCTGGGATTCAAAATGACCAGTGACCAGAAACCAGCCGTGGACTGTACAGTTTGGACCCTGTGGGTCTCGTCAGCATGGCGCCAGTATATATTTTGTGTTTGTTTTTCTTTGTTTGTTTTTTGTTACTGTAGTTTTACATATAAACGTAAATACTCAACCCTTAAGGCATTTAAAAAATTGTGCAAGAGTAGTTTTAGTGCACGCATACAACATTGAAGAACGTTCCTATCTACAGCTTTAACAAAATGTTCAAATACCTCCACGTAACGCCAACATATATTTTTGTGAATTCAATAGTTTAATTATCTTTCTGTAGCTTTTAGGCTTCTGTTTTTTTTGCCACAGAGATTATATTGATTGCCAGAGTCTTCTTTTATGTCTTGAGACAAGGTGATCTTGTAATCAAGTACAATTTTCTAATTGCCAGTACACCACTGATCAACTTTATTACTAGTTATAAAATCCTCCCTTCCCCCCCGCTTGCTGCAACGCATAATTTATCTCGGAGAAAGAGAGAATATTTTTTTTCCGTGACAGACATGATTTTCTTTTGAAACATAAAAAGAAACTGTTACGTGTGAAATATTTGCATAACCCAAAAGCTAACTAGAAGCAAGCTGTGAGTTATAATATTTATTTATTTTTTAAAAAAATGAAATCTCGGAATGTAAATGAAATAAACCCCTGCCGTGCTGTATCCAGAGCTCATGCCCACATATAGTACTGTGGAAAGAATGCCCAAGAATGTAAGCGCACATATGACATTTCTCAAGTCAACCAGGAAGGAAAAGTGCAGGACAGGTAGATGTGCTTGCTACTTACCTCTGTTGGTCTGATGTGCTTTTTACTTACCTCAGCGCTGGCTCGAGTCTGCCTTCACTCCTCCCCCACTGACATCAGCGGGGGGGAGACCTAATTCTCAAGAACGGAAATTAACTCTCTCGCATTAGGATTTACCCATTTAGGGCTCGTGGTGAAGGCATTGCACAGCGTGAGGACATCCAGTGTCAGCTAGGTGACCAAAAGTCACCTAACAGCCCAGAAGTCCTTCTAGTGGCTGTCTGATAGACAGCCACTAGAGGTGTAGTTAACCCACCAAGCTACTTATTGAAGTTTATTAAAAACTGCGATACTTACCTTTGCAGGGTTAAGGGACTTGGGACACTGCACCCAGGCCACTTCAATGAGCTGATGTGGTCTGGGTGCCACTGCCTATAGTGTCCCTTTAATTTATCCCAGTAAAAGCTTCAACAGCATTTAACGATGTGAAGGAACAAAAGAGTTCTCATTTCCAAAGAAGTAACCGTTCTGTTTTAACTTGTCTAATTTAACACACAAAAAAAAGGAAATAAATATGAGCCAGTTATATTTCTAGAACTGATGCCCTAATATGGGCCTGTACTGAAACTCCCCATCAATGAGAGCTAGAGGCTGTTGTGGATGTGTTCATATCAACAAATAGTTCTTGACACATTGTCACTCCTATCTTATCTTATTCTTGGTGACCTACGAATGGAACGATTCGAACAAATCTGATGGTTCTATTAATTTAAAAATAAAACGTTATGTTAATCCTTCCCTTACACTCCCCGGGGCCAAAGTCTCACCTTCCCTAGTCGTCACCATAGACAGAATTTGAGAATCATCAACATGTTGTATGTAACGTGTAACCAGCTGTGTGGAATATTGAACGACTTTGTGATGTACCCCACCCCCCTCCCCTCCCTT